AGGAGCCACCAGACAAGCACTGGACAAACCACAACCACGTCCAGTGTCGGGATCTGCCCCCACCTCCCTTCCTGGATGGGCAGCACCAGCCCCAACCCCACTCCCTCCCTCGCTGCGGAGGCCTTAATCTGCTCTCCCATGCCCCTCCCTTTCCCCTTCCACCACACCAAATTTACGGCTACATGCAGCACTCCACGCTGCCACCTCTGCTCCTCACTGCCCATGTGCTGTGCTGCGGCTGTGCGCAAGCACAGGCATTTATTGGACAAATTATTGGCTGCATCGGGCTGATTTCTGATACAGAAAATTTTCTTTATATCAGTGCCGATCCGATAGCAGACCTATGTATTGGTGCGCCTCTAATGAAAATGGAATTTCAAAGCGCTGAGCACTGGTCTAAAATCTCCTCAACTGCATCTGGACTTGAAGAACAATAGGTAGGCTAACATTTTGAAGTTCTGAAAATTCTACTCTGTCCAATTCCTAGAGATGCTGACTGACATCAATGCCTAGTTTAGCAAATGAAGTTGAAGGTATTTGCAAAATGAGGCTCTGGGTAGAGAGAACTAAGGACAGTCTTACAGAACCCATAAAACTATATTCTTAGATGGAGAACGTATGTTCATACAATGAGTGTTCAGACAGTGACTTTCAAACTTCATTTGCCTGTATTTTAAATCATATTGAGTATTACTGACCTTTTCACTTTCTGTGTCAAGAGCTGATGTGGCTTCATCCAGAAGGAGAACTGCTGGCTTACGAACCAGAGCACGAGCAATTGCTATTCTTTGTTTCTGACCCCCAGAAAGCTGTGCTCCTTTGTCACCTACTCGTGTACTGTATTTCTGTTTTTAGAAGGAAGATAAAATTAAAAGGAAGGTTGAAAACAAAGCTATATTCTAAAATTTAATAATCTCTTAAGTATTTCCACCTTGAAAGAAAAAAATGTAGCTAATTTTAATAAAAATCAAGATAGCCGATTATTATATTAATATTTTGAATCAAATGAATATTAATAACTGTTCTGCAATGAAATTTCTTCTTTACATTATCAAAAGAGTAGCTCCCAGTGACATGCTTATCTGAAAAAAATTCAATATTGTGTTTCCAGAGATCGAAACTCAGGATATGATTCTTTATTCTTGAATATCCTAGACATTCTTTGCAGTGCATTTAATAAAATATTGTTTAGTGTCAAGACGTTATGTCCTGTTACAGGATACTCCCTGAAAGTTTGGTTTCATTGGCTGTTGCAAAGCATTCCTTCTCTTGGAGAACTTAATCAATAGCAAGTATGATATTTAAGTAGTCCCTCATTTTTTTCTAAAAAATTGTTACTGTATTTTTATTGTTCTATGCATGTCCACATAACCAAAAAGTAACGTAGCGAATTTTATTGAAATATTTAAAAAAAATAATTTATCTTTCCACTTAAGCTAAGATTGACGATTTCAGCCAAAACAAGGGGGGGGGGGGGGGGTGGAAAGGAAATTTGAGGTAATAAATTAGAATAAAAAAACTCACTGTTTCTTTTATATTCTTTTACAATCATTATATTATAATATTAAAACAAAAAAACACAAACCAAACTAACCAAAAACAACAGTTCTATATATTCTTGCTCTTTCAGAATCAAATAAATATTCTAACCCATACCCTCACATAAACAAGCAAAACTTCATAAAAATAAGAACAGGTTAAAAAACCACCCAAACACCTTTGCACTTTGCTTTACATTAATGAGAGCTGCCTACATAAACTTCTGTGTTACAATGATTATTTACCACCACCATGGATGGAAGGACATTTTCCTTTTACCTCTGGCAGATTTTCAATGAAGGCATGAATATTTGCTGCTTTAGCTGCCTCTACAACTTCCTCCTGACTAACCACCCTACTGTTGTCTCCATATTGGATATTTTCAGCAATGCTGCAGTCAAACAAAATAGGCTCCTGTGACACAATGCCTAATTTGGATCTGAGCCAGGGCAAATGCAAAGACTTAGTATCAAATCCATCTGCAAGCTGGAAACAGGAAAAGAGAGAAGTTATGACATTACTGATTCATGTTCATCCATTAAGACCCCTCAGTCCACAGCTGCTTAATCAGTTGTTCCCCATTTTGTATTTGTGCAGCTGGATCCTACATTGTTGAAGACTTATATGAACACTAAGTGTTATTAACAGATCCACAAATCCATCCATAGCAGTCCGCTAGCTCTAGAAGCTGGGGAGTAGTCAGCAGGCTTGTAAGGACTTCCAGCCAGCTGTAGGCATAGGGAGCAATTACAGGCTGCCTAGGAAGACTTGGCCAGCCAAGATAGATAATTAGCTGGCACAGAAAGCTAAAAAGGCTCCCAGGGAGAGGAGCTAGAGGGAGATATACAGAGCTGCAAGCTGAGACTTGAAAGGAGAAGTGGAGAGCTAAGAGGGAGAGAGGTGATGGGTCAGCTCATGGTGAAGTTTGAGGACTAGATCAGAGGGCCATTAGAAAAACTGAGAGAGACTGTGAACATGCCTTCTTGTTTGCTGAAGGGACCAAAGGGGAAAGAAACAAACCAAGCAAGTGGCAGCAAAACCACCGGCCAGAAAGCCTGGGGACTCTCTTTGGGGCCTGGGAAAAGAACCTGTTTGGCTTATAGACTGCTTTGTTTATGTTGATTCCTGCTGGGAAACAGTTTGTCCAAGGGGTATAAAGACACTGGGGAAAAAATTGTAAATGAACCCAAAAGCCTATGTGTTTGAGTGAGCAAGTCTCTGAACCTAGTATACCCTTCTTACCACTTGTCCTGCCACCGGGTCATAAAATCTCTCCAGGAGTTGAATGGACGTGCTTTTGCCACAGCCGCTGCTTCCTACTAATGCAAGAGTCTGTCCTTTATTAACCTTCACATTGAGACCTTGCAAAACTTGAACTTCTGGTCTGTTTGGATATACAAAATGGATGTCCCTGAACTCGATGTTACCATCAAAGTGACTCTGAAACCAATACAAGATATAAATGTATTATGTTTATTAGTTTGTATGGAGACATCAAATATAATACAATATGATCATTTAAGTGACAGAACTGGCAACCAAGTTTGGGATGGTATAGACTTTCTGAAATGCATTTCACTGTGTGTTTTAAATACCCAGAGACTGAGTATAACATCTTTTATTTATTGGAGGAAAAATGTCATCTCTTTAATTTTCTGGAGCTCCATTTTAAGAAGCTGCTTTCTACATCACTGTCATCTACTTTATCTCCCATCAGCCTGATTTGCAAGGGGAGTTGTTTTAAGCAAGCTGTTGACAGCCTTTGTTTAAGTCACCAATGTATGTAATCCAGAGACTACTATTGTATATATAACCCACTTTCCTTCCTTATGATTTTCACTGAGTACAAGACAAATGCCTGTGACATAGAATGAACATAGTACAAGATGAACATCAGAAGCTAAAAATGATTTGAATACTATGGTAGATAATTCACAGACTTCAAAGACAAATTTTGTTGTAAGGGGTAATTCAAACAAGGAGAAAGATTTGTTTTCTGATTATCACATGTAGGAAGGAGTAGGGGTTAAGAAAGAAGAAGGTATCAAGACGAAAGTGAATTAAGGACTGTATGAATCTGATCTGATATCTGGGGAACGGGACAACAACCTGGGCCATAATATCAGTACTGTTTGTACAGCAGGCTGTTAAAGAACCTATTCAAGAACTAATTCTTTAATGAATGAGTCTTTCAAGTTTGTATATATTGAGCCAAGGCTTAGTTTCACCAGGGCTAAAGGCAGCTGTTTCACTGGCACTGGGAGTAAGCTCACAGTAGAACTGTTTTACTCAAGTCTTACTCCACAAGTAAGTATTTTGTCTCTAAGCAATTTCTGTATGAAATGTGTCAGTTTATAAGTACAAAGGTGGCTTCTCCAATTATCACCTCTGGGTTTCTGAGAAGCAACCTGGGTGTTTCCAACGCCACTTAAAAATCACCAGTAAGGAAGTTTCTTCAGGCCAAATTGATCTCATTAATATCTTTGCTAGCCTTTAAACTGAACAAAGTTAAACAGGCATAACAAACTGGAACTTAGCAAGCAACTTAGGTGCATAAGATAGTATAGATTCCAACTCATTTTCACCTGTAGCTTTGGGTCTTTATAGCTTATAGAAATAAAAAATGGCGGAGACCAGATATATATCATATAAGCAAGCAGGTACAACTCTACCTACTCCTCAAAATGCCAGTCTGTTGAGTGAAATATCATTTTTAGACCCTGGTTAGGATAGAACTATACTTAAAAGGTATTCTATTAATTTTCTGCAAAAATCTATAGAGTAGCACTGGGCAAATATAAAATTAATAATGCACTACCATTATTTTATACTCTACCTGCATGAAATGTTTTCTATTGCACTGTAAAAGGAAATTTATTTACAATAATGCAATTAAAGACAATAAAGTAGCAGTTTTTTGGGGTTATTTTCTTTTTAATTTCATGGCCTCTCTGAAAGACTTTACCAATTTTTCCCCCTCTTCACTGTAACTGTCAATCAGAGGTTTCTGATCCAAAAGCCGAAAGATTCGTTGGGCGGAAATTTTAGCTTTGCCATAATCTGGTGCTAAAGATGTGGACTGTCCAACATTCATAGCAGCAAATATAACTGAAGAAAAGACTCTGAAAACAAAGCACAAAATATTTTTTCAGTTCAGCTAAAAGATATTACTGTTCATTTAAAAAAAAAAATTAAACAGATGTGTTAGTGTCTCTAAATTTGAAGACTAGGACATTTGTAGAAATTAATAGCTTGAAAATTTACACAAAGTATTAGAAAGTAAAGTTTATGGCCAAAAATAATTTTTAGATGACCAATACAATGAAACTTCTCCATGCAAAAGCTCACTGTCTGCAATGAAAAGTCGAGCAATAAAAGCTTGTTAACCAAGCCAGCTGTACATACCAGCTCATAACTGGGTCCATGCCTTCTTTCTGTGTGAGCAACCTTTCCAAGGAATAACCTTTCTGCCTGATGTTAACTGCAGACCAGATTTTAAACTACTGAATTTCTATAGTTTATAATCTCTGCAATCAGGTTTCTAAACAATTAACACGTATTTGGAATACTCTCAGAAAATATACTCACATAAAAACATTTTCAAAGTTGGTATAGCAATGGGCAATAAGCCAGGCTCCAAATCTGAAGACTGCTGCATTAATAAAGTAGTTTGCACACTGGGCTATTCCATAGGTAAATCCATACAGGGGGGCTTTTTTCAAAGAGTCCCTGGTAAAACAAAAAGGCCTTAATTACAGGAAAAAATTGTTGTGAAACAGCAACATCCAAGGTTAGATGGAAAAATGTCAGACTTTTGGACAACCAAAAGACCTTGTATACTAGGAAATGCTTCCATGGCAGATAATTTAGGGCAGTGAGATCCTTTCACCCCATGTTATGTTTTCTCCTCTCTTTGATTCTTCTGTCCCTTTCTGGGACATAGCAGCAACCTTAAACTAACTGCAACCGATAGCCATGCTGGGGGAGGGGGCCAGTCTAAGACCCTACACATGAGAGTGAAACTCTTTGTACCCTGACACGAGGGGAATAACTACCAGTGCACCCTCTAGTGCAATACATTCTCTTGTACACACCAGCCTCAGGACTGAGACACTGATGTCTGAGGGAATTTCTCTCCCCCTGAAAAGTAATTCTTTTAAACAGGTCAAGTTTAGATTCAGCACATCACAGACACCATCTGTACTCTCTTCTTGATCTCAGAAATAGATCTTAACCTAGGGAGGGCCTAGGCTATGCTTTCTCAAATCCTTTTCTAGCTGGCAGACTCACAAATACAGTCAATTGGTAAACTGCTTAGCTAATATGTCAAGGGATGTTCTGGTCATGCTAATTTTTCCTTCCAGGGTCACTGCTATGCATCTATTTGGTACAATCTAGAATTCCATATTTGGCTGCTGATGAAAAGCTATTTCCACTACTCTGCCCCTCCCCACCAACCTCTACCTACTCCCCCGAGATGGGAGTATATTGGATAGGCACTTATGTTAATAGTCTATAAAAACACTTTTAGCAGTTCAGAACTGTAAAAACTCTTGAATAATATTTTCCAGAAGAAATGCTTATGGAAGGCCATAGCAATCTGACAGGTCTTGGTATATGAATGAGAGTGATAATTATTATACATCTCTCAGTATCTTTGAATATTTGAATTTCAAGTGAGAAAAACATCAGGACACCATAAAAAGAATGAATAAAGCATATGGGATTAACAAAGCACGAGATCTATTGCTTGTTTTCAAGCACAACCCTCCCCCCCACCACATCTGGAACCCCAGCACATAGTGGTCATGGTCACATGGGCTAAGTACAGACAGTCAAAAACCTAAGGCTGAATTGATTCAGTCTTTGCAGGTTAGTCTAAGCTACATAGATTGAACCAATAAGCAAGTGAACAGGCATTCACTTTTGATTTCAGATATGCAGCCACAAGCCTGCAGTGGCCCAGGCCAGAAGCCAGAGGGCACTAGAGCATGCCTCCCTGCTCTACTGGAGCAGACAGTTTGGGCTAAGGCTAGCCTGCCAACCCTGCAAGAGGGGTTTGTGGTGGGGGGGAAGGGGGTACAAAGCATCCTGGGATGCTGGGGGACTGTGAGTTAACTTGGGATCTGGGACAGAAGTTCAATAATTTGATTTAACCTAAAATCAGTTAAGTCTGATAGTACATCTGTCCAGGATTATCTTAAAATGGTTTTGGCTATTTTGAAAGTGGTTTATGTGCCTTGAACTTGTGTTGTGTTGCATATTTAAACTGGCTTATGATCACTTATACTGGTTTATGTGTAATTTCTGTCCCTAGCCATGATAATCAGTGTAATGGAGTAAGGGTAAAGATGCTAGCCTAAGAACCTTAATATGACAAAGAAATTAGTACTACTTAAAAGCTGGCTAGAAAGTTCATACAGTCTTTGCAAAAGTCAAAACCTCCCATTGAGAAAACCAAAATAAATTGCTTCAAATAGAGTTTTGGTTGATTTGACCATGAAGAAATATTGTGATTTGTTGAACATTTCACGTCATTGCTCCATACAACTGTACTATCTTGCAATGCACATTGCTAAATTTCAGATTCCCCCTTTCCCCCGCAATAGATACAATGTTTTCTACCTTGATAGTTATAAAATTCAATATTTTTAGAAAGTATCATTAGCTGAGTATAGGTTATATTACTTGCATGAGATGGAAGCTGTAGGAAAATACCCAGCATGTTAGGATGTTAGAATTAGTGTCAGTAAAAATGAGGGCATGGTCTGTAGCTAAGGTGGCCAAAAGATGACAAATTTACACAATTTAGTTTAAGGTTCTCAAGCTTATACCAATGGTATAAAAATAATGACATGCCATGACCTAAAAACTATTGCCACTTATATGAAATGACTTCTATAACTCACAACATGTAAATGAAGAAAATAGATCTCATATGCTTGCCAAATTAAACTTTATAATACACTTTCTCCCCCTTTCCCTTCTTCCACTTCCCCCCATATCTTGTCACAGACACACAGTATACAATATGCTTCTAAAATGAAAACATAGCCAATGCATAAGGGAGAAAATTTGGAGATAAACAAAGTAAGTAAAATTTAAATCTATTAAAAAAGTTACTATTATCTTTTCAAGTTAATTTTGTATTCAATAGTTTTAGTTTCCTGGAGAATGTAATGTGATTAAATCTTGTGTTCTTTAATTAACAAAATAGATACTTACAGCATTTTAAAATGGTTTGAAAATAAACCCACCTGTATGGACCATTCAAACTTGCATTATACTTCTCAAAAAATGCCTCTTCTCTAGTTAATGAAGCCACAGTTCTTATATTTTCAACAGCTTCTGTTGAAATCTAAATTTAAAGAAAAGATGTATGGTTTAAGCTGGTATTTGCAAACAAATTTTATTTATTTGCAAGCTGTCAGGCGCACTCACCCTTCATGAGGCATAGGAAAGGGCAGAGATTGTAAAAGTTCTCCTAGGTAGAACTGAAAATTCATATTTCACAGGAGAGCTAAAGGTGTGGTAAAGTCTCCTGTTTAGAATAGTTCATTCTGTTCAGGTTAGGCATAGAGAAAGGTTGAAAAAGTCTTTTTACACCTTGTAGTTGTCTGGTGGCAAGCAAGATATAGAAGTATACTTCCTTCAGGTTATGATGTTTCATGTTGCACGGAAGAGTGGAAAGATGGAGAGCTATTCTGTGCAAGAATTTGTTCTGTGGTGAGGTATCTGTGTGTCTGTGCTCTGAGATGCAAGCTTACTCCAACAATGGCTGGATCCTGGTGTTAGCATATCAGGTGGTAAAATGCTTCCTTCTTGCAAAATTATGAACTTTTCATTAAAAAATGGCTAAAATTAGATATCTTCAATGTATCAGGTATCCAAGACTTTTTCAACCTTCCTCTGTGCCTTATCTGGACAAAATTAACTATTCCAGAACAGGAGACTTTACCAAACCTTCAGGTCTCCTGTGACATGAATTTTCATCTACACCTAGGAGAACTTTTACAATCTCTGCTCTCTCCTATGCCCGATGAAGGGTAAGTATGCCTGAAAGCTTGCAAATAAATAAAATAATTTGTTTGCAAATATCTAGTTGGTCTAATAAAAGATATCACCTCTTCCATGAGTTTTGATTCCAAGTCAATGAAGAAACTATTCTAGAATACAATATGACATAACAGTTTTATGATTAGATGTATTCCATGATGGGATGTGAAAGTTAAAATTAGGAACTTGCAACTTATTTTAATTTAGCAGACCTGAAATTAGGCATGAGCTTATTTTTCTGACATGTTTCTCCCATTCAGGCTATAGAAAAATGCCAGTTCTGGGTTGCTGCCACCTGGTAGCTCTCAGTGGCCTAAGCTGAATGTGTTTTAGGTCTTTGCAGGCCTTTGTGCATGCCACAAAATTAGCCTTTATAGCGACTTAAATGCCCTTTTGCACCGCTTTAATGGAGTTGCTGTTTTCACGCTTAGTGGCGTATTATGCTTTAAATGACTTTGGTATGTAGCAAGATAAAACATCTCCGAGGTGTTTTAGTTTGCTATCTAACAAAGTGCAATAGTGCACAGGACATTGGAAGCTGACGTGCTCAGGGCTTGGCTGGTCCCATACAACTCAGGGGCTGTGGGACCCAGTGGCAGCCCATGCAGGCAGGCAGGCTCCACTGAGGAAAGAAAGAAAAAAAAAAAAAAAGCAGTGAGCCTGATTTTTTTTTTCCATCTCCCCAGAGCCTGCCTGAACTTTGCAGGGGCCCAGTGCTTCCCTCCACAGCTGCGGAGGTGGGGGAAACAGTGCATCCCTCCATGGCTGCAGCACCCCCCAAGACCTCCTGGGTCGGATGCCAGTAGGCAGATGTTGCTTAGGGGGCCCCTGCATAGCTCAGGAACTGCTCGGCCTGCAGGCAGCAGCCCTTCTCTGCCCTCTCCCAGCCACCGAACAGGCAAGTAAGGATCGGGTGGCCACCCTTGCGTACATGGGGGTTTAGTTTGGTTTAATTCTCCCTAAATTGAAACAGTGTTTTAAAAAAAATCCACCATTTTAATTTAGGGAGAACTAAACTGCATTAAACCCCTGTGGCGTGTACAAGCAGCCATGTTCAATGTCTTCCCAAACAAGAAAAACAAGGGAAGAGAAGAAAAACCTTCCTTTTCTAATCTTCCTTTGCTTCCTATATCCCTTCTCTGCATGTAAAATCTAACTTTTTTTTTTTTAAACTATCCTGTAGAATTAAACAAATGTTTACTTTCTATTCCTTCTTCACTTTTATGCGATGAACCAAAATACTTGTAGAGTATCTCTGTTTATCACTGCATTGGTTAATGTGCTTTCAGAACAAGTTTGGTTGAACAATAGAACGGGACATGTTTTTTGTCCTTTAAATTATTTAGCTGAAATTGGAGAACTTACTCTTCCAGCTTCTTCCAAAGCTTTTTGATCTTTTGATGCATGACCAGACACAGAGCTAATTCTTACAGCATTTGTAGCAATAACGAAAGGAATGCAAGCCAGGATCAGTAAAGTTAACTGCCAGCCATATACAAAAGCAATAATGATGGCAGTCAGAAGGGTGCAGACTGTCATAGTCGACAAACCAAGTCGGCTTCCGGTAGCCTAATAAAGAGTAAAAATATCCAAAGAATTAGAGTTATAGATCAAATCTGTGAAATTAATATTTGTTCAGTTTCAAAGTTGCCTAGAAATATCTATCAAAGTTGCAAGTTGCCTAGAAATATCTATTTAAAATGGGTAGTTATATAGCCAAAAGCATATATGAACAAGGCACATCCATTTTATAATGAAATTTCAAAGTAGTTATCGGATCTATTTACACTGTAATTCCACTCATGACTGCAGATAAGATGGAAAGCCATATCGAAATATTCTTTAAAAGCTTGACGTGGTAGAAAAAAACCCAGAAACCCTGGGTGAAAGTGAAATTCTTCCCTTTCTTGCCAGAGGCTATCCTCCCCCCTACAGAGACTATTTTTTTTATTCAATAAAATTTAAAATAGTAATCAAACTCAAGCCAGGATGAACTGCTGCCATGTGCTCTAGGGGCTCCATATAACGATCATTTGGAAACTTCACTGAACACAGCATGTGGGAGCCTACTTATTTGGCGACACTTTGTGTTCCAGAGAATGCAATGGCTTCTGAATGCAATTCAAAATGTTGCTTATGATCTATTAAACCTTTCATAGTTTGTATCCTCCTACCCTTTTTCTTCCTGTTTTACTTTGGTGGCTGGGATGATGCATCATATCCCAAGAGTTAAGTTGCAGTTTTAAAAAATACAGATGATTGTATATTCTGTCCAATATTTGATTTGTTTCCTCTCAGTGATAGGCAGTAAAAAAAGAGATGGGAGAGCAAATGAACCCCACTGAGGCTGAAAAATCATGGAGTTGAGAATATAAACTACTGAATAAGTCAGTAAGCAACATATTAACTCTTCCCTATTCATCTCAAATGAGACTTTTTTAAATGTAGCAGATGTTCATGAGTTTTTAAGGAGGTTGAGGATCACTGGATTTTAACATTTTCCTGCAGGATTTTCAATGGTGTCTCTCCAATGCTAATCCCCAGAATCACCCAATCCTTGAGCTGCTACCAGCTCAGACATCCTTTATTAATGACAACTCAGCTCACCCTACTAAGCCTGAGTAGTCAGCTTTTCTGTTTGTGAAATGCACTGCATGGTCTAGGAAGAAGAAATTGATTTATATCATCATGAGGTCAGGCCAAGGGCTGCAAAGTAAAATCCCACCCTTCCATGCCACCAAAGTGGGATTTTAAAGCTACCTGAAACACAAAAAGACTTCTGTCCAGAGGTGCTCAACCTGTTGGTATGGTGTGGGGTCCACCTGTGGGCCAGATTGGACCCCATGTGCTAGGATCAGACCCTGCATTGCCTTCACTGACCCCCCAGCTGGATGGGGTCCACCCACCCTCCCTTGCCACAGGATCAGTCCCTGTATCACCATATTGAGGCCCAGAACTACCTCCCTTAGGCATGTGCCACTGGGTCTGGGCTCTGCACTGTCTCCCTTGGCTCTGGGCCACCAGCACCGCCTCCCTCAGCTCTGTACCCTCTCCTTTAGCTCTGTGCTGCCCACACTGCTTCCCTGGGTCTCTGCACCACCCATACCACTTCCCTGGAGTTCCACACTGTCAGATTTGGGCCCTGCACTGCTTCTGTGCCTCCCTATGCTGCAGAATTGGGCCCTGCACTGCCTCCAATAGGGCCCTGTGTCCAGACTGGGCCTTGGGCCACATCTGCACATTGATCTAGCAGGGCTCTGTGGCTCATAGGGCTCTCCATGGGTCTAGAAATTTTGCAGCAGGGAAGCAGCAATTGCTGCCACTGCTTCTCTGCTGCCAAATTTTTGGACCCATGGCACCCCCTGTGGGCTGGATGGCATGGCTTTGTGGGCTGGATATGGCCCATGGGTCAGGGGTTGATCATCCCTGCATTAAGTTCATGGGCTTAAGTGATGTGGAGTTACTTGAAGTTTTAGGTGCATGGGTGAATTTCATCTTTGATGACACACACTTAAAGTTATTCAATATTTGGCAGAGACTTCAACAAGAGAATGGAAGGTATCTGAACATTTGCTGAATTTTTGATGGTTGTCATAAACTGTCAGCTAGGAAACTGGTTTCCAAGGTATAAAAAGCATGCTATTTAAATGTATCAGCCAAGTCTCTGTTGGAGATTTACTACCTTGTTTTCTAAAGTAACCTCGGTGTCCTTTGCTAGCACTTCAATTAATATTTTTAGGCAAAATATGTTAAAAAAAGAAAAGAAAATCCACATACCCCTTTGACTTGGGATGCATCTGTAGCAAGTCTGGTTAACAAAACTCCTACAGCATTTTTATTATCATCATACCACCCAATATCCTGCAAGTAAAAATGCCGTTCAGTTACTTTTGCCTTTTGGGGAAGAAATGATTTTATCATAACAGACTATTTAAGCTTAACTAGCACATGAGGAATAAGAAGAAACTGTCAACCTAAACACTAAGATCCTTTGCTTTTTTTTGGCAATTAATTACATATGCAAAGTAAATAGCCATACGTTTTTTAAGAATAAGCTTAAAAACCATTCTTACTCTTTCAGCGTTAAATTAACAAGCAAAGTCCTGTTAACTGCAAAGATTTTTATAATTTAAAGCCATGTATTCATTATGAAACCATAATAAAAGCACCTTCTTCTCCCAAACTCAAATTTGGCACAGAGAATTCCTCTCCATTTTTATACTAGGTTAAAGTTAGTGGAGCCATTGCCACCTGTGGGAGGAGAATCAGGTATTTTATGCTCAAGGGGATGAAAAACTATATTATATATTTTAATTAAAAAATTCCCTTTTGTTCCATTGTCCCCTTAACATGCTTCCATGTATATGCAGGGCCCTGCAAGGCATTGTCAGGGGATGTGTAGGATATCAAATTGTTCATCCATAGTGAATTATACCAGATCAACTCATTGCTGGGGGGTGGGCAGACAGCCACCAGAGCAAGCTCACCAAGCATCAACTGCAAAATCAGCAGGTTAGGATGTTCAAGGGAATCCACTCCTACCCCAGCCCATGAACAGAGCTTCTCCATGAGTGCAAGGAAGCCTAGGGATTCCAACGGCATACTTGCTTGCCTGTACACTAATGCCAGGAGTTTGGGGAATAAACAGGAGGAACTGGTTCTTCTGCTAAACAAAAATGACTATGATCTCATAGGTATAACAGAGACCTGGTGGGACTCCTCCTATGACTGGACTATGGGTATAAATAGCTATACCCTGTACAGGACAGCTTGTGCTGAAAAAAGGAGGTGGGGATGTAGCTCTCTATGTGAAGGAGAGCTGCACGTCCCTACAAGCTAAGATTAGCACCCAAGGAGGAAGACTGGAGACCCTCTGGGTTAGAATCTGAGGAGAACATGGCCAAGGGGAAACAATGGTAGGAGTCTACTACAGGCCTCCAAATCTGACACAAGAGCTTGACCATAAATTCACCAGACAACTGGCTGAGGCTGCATGCTCTTGGTGCATGGTTGTCATGGGAGACTTCAACTATCCAGATCTCATGGAAAGAGCATTCAGCCAAATCTGTTCGGTCTCAAAGCTTCCTGACATGTGTGGATGAGCTCTACCTGTCTGAAGAAGTTTATGGCCCAAGAAGCAGTGAGGCACTGCTGGACCTTGACTGGCCAAAGGGGATGGTCTAATCAGCAACCTAAGAATCGAAGGGAAGTTGGGTAACAATGACCACAAGTTGATCACTTTCACCATCTATTGCAAAGCTGGCAAGTCAGCTCAATGCAGTAGTCCTCAACTTTAGGAAAGATGACTTTCATAAGCTCAGAAGGCTTGTTCTTGAGGTCCTGAGAGGCCATGATTTAACAAGGAGGTGAGTTCACGATGAATGGTTGCTTCTTAAGGAAGTGATCCTAGAAGCACAAGGGAAATCCATTCCAACCCATAGGAAAGGTGGTAAATGGGCTCAGCAACCCCCTTGGCTCAACAGGGAACTCATGAACCTCCTGCATCTAAAAAGAGGCCTACAAAGGATGGAAGACAGGAAATACCACTAAGGAAGGGTATTCTGCACTGGTCCATACCTGTAGGGAACAAACTAGGAAAGCCAAGGCTGCAATCGAACTTAAGCTGGACATGAATCAAGGACAATAAAAAGTCCTTCTTCAGATACATGGGGAGTCAGAAGAAAAACAAGGGCAACATTGGACCCCTGCTAAACCAACTGGGGCAACTGACAACCAGGAAAAAGCAAATCTGCTTCATGATTACTTTGAATCAGTTTTTCCACCAGCCCAAAGGGAGCACCCTGCCTAACATGATGCAGGATGACCAGGGTGAGGGTGAATATATGCCCACCATTGGCATAGACCTTGTGACGGAGCACCTTTAAAGGCTGGACACCCAGCTGGTCCAGATAGACTGTACCCAAGAGTGGTAAAGGAACTGGCAGACATAGTGCAGCCACTGGCAAGCATATTTAAGAACTCATGGTGCTTGAGTAAAGTACCTGAAGATTGGAAGAGGGCCAGTGTGGTGCCTATCTTCAAGAAATGGAGGAAAGAAGATCCAGGAAACTACAGGCCAATCAGTTTGACCTCAATCCCTGGGAAGATCTTAGAACAAATTATCAAAGAAACCATTCTTGAAAGGCTAACAGAAGGCAACAATCTCAGGGATATCCAGCACGGGTTTGTTGTGGATAGGTCTTGCCAGACAAATCTCCTTTCCTTCTATGACCAGGTGACATATCACCTGGACAAAAGGGAAGAGGTTGATATCATATATTTGGACTTTAAAAAGACTTTGACCTGGTGTCCCATGATGCTGTCATGGAAATTTGGGCAACTGAGGCCTCGGCTACAGTATAGTCCAATGGCTGGGGAACTGGCTCCGAGGTTGGACCCAGAGAGTAGTAGTTGATGGAACCGAATGGCACTCAGTGTCCAGTGGTGTACCTAAAGGGCTGCTTTCAGACCTGTACTCCATGGGCGACTGGTGCCTCTTGAGATACGTGGGTCCTTGGGGCCCCCCCCCCCCCCCCCCCCATGGCTGATCACACTGGCCGGTGGGTGGGGAGGGTCCTATTAATGCCTGACCTACTAATGTCTTTATAAATGATCTGGACTCTGGTGTCAGAAGCAGACTGGCCAAGTTCACTGATGACACCAAACTTCGGGGAAGAGTATCTATACTTGAGGATAGGCTGGTGATCCAGGCTGACCTTGATATGACTTGCAAGGTGGAAGGATGAAAACCTGATGGCATTTAATACAGAGAAATGCAAGGTGCTCCACCTCTGGGGAAAAAAAACCAAAACCACAGCATCACACTTATAGGCTTGGCAATGCTACACTCACTAGCACCACAACTAAGAGAGACTTGGGGGTCATGATTGACCACAAGATGAATATGAGCCAATGTGATATTACAGCTGGCAAAGTGAACTCAATTCTGGCTTGCAACTACTGATGCATCTCAAACAAGACGCAGGATGTTATCCTCCTGCTGTACTCGGCCTTGATGAGGCCACAGCTGGAGTACTGCATCCAATTCTGGGCTCCACAATTCAGGAAGGCCAATTCATGGAGAAGTTTGAAAGAATCCAGAAGAGATCCACACACATAATCAGAGGGCAAGAGAACAGGCCTTATGAAGAGAGGCTGCGAGGTACGGGACTCTTCAGCCTGGAGAAGCGCTGGCTCAGGGGTGAGTTGGTGGCAGCCTATAAGTACATAAGGGATGTGCATCAGGATCTGGGGGAACACCTGTTCACCAGAGCACCCCAGGGGATGACAAGGTCCTAAAGGTCGCAAACTGCTGCAAGACTTGTTTTAGGATGTACATAAGGAAAAAGCTTCTTTACTATCCAAACCCCCAAGGCCTGGAATAGACTCCCCACAGAGATGGTGCAAGCACCTACTCTGGACACTTTTAAGAAATATTTGGATGCTTATTTTGCTGGGATCCTTTGACTCTAGCTGACTTCCTGCCCCTTGGGCAGGGGGCTGGACCCAATGATCTTATGAGGTCCCTTCCAGCCCTAATGTCTATGAAATACACGAAGTCCATGAAATCTTAGCAACAAGGAAAATTCATGGAGAAGTTATACCTGTTATCACAACATCTAGCAAATAGACCTAAATATATATATCTAAACATTTGCATCATGCTCACCTGGAACAAAGGGAGACTCAATTTCTGTTTTGCTAACTTAAGAGCTTTGGCACAGGCTACCTGTGTAATGTCAGAAATCAGTGGAATGTTGAGAGGACATAACATTACGGCATTTTTAGAGCAGTCTCAGATGAAGGATTCATGTTGACCTGACTTGAATGACCTGATTAGAGGGCTGGAGGGCAGGGGAGTGGACAGGAGCCAGGACACTATTCCTCCCCTATGGCAGGAAAGGAAGGAGAAGAGCAGCATATAGCTGGGAGGCAGAGAAACCCACATGTGGCCCTCCCACCACTTCCAAAAAAAGCCCAGCCAGAGCAGAGGGTAGGAGGGGAAAAAAATCTTGAAAAAACTGTTTGAAGTGAGGCAGGGATAGAAATAAAGAGAAAGAAGTGAAAAAGATGTTAAAAAAAAAAAAAAAAAAAAAAAAAGTAAAGGACTAAAATCTTGCATGTGTCCCAGTGAACTGGGATTAAGTTGGAGTGGGGAGTGGGGTTAGGGAAGCAGCATTTGTACAGGCTGGATTGGGGGTGAGAGGAGCTGTCTTAGCCCTAGTGGTGAGACCATGGGGCTAGGGAAAGCATACTTTCCCTGGCTCCAGAGTTCTGCAGTTGTTAAGCTGCTCTTTTCCTGGAGCAGGCACATCCGCTGCAGCCCAATCACAGAGCCTGGGGAAGGCTGCCTCCTCGGGGCTCTGAGCTCAGCCTCAAGTTGATGCAGCTGCATAGCTGCTCTGTGCTTAGAGGGAGGCTTGACCAGAGAGCTGAGCCGTGGAGAAGCAGCCTCCCTAGGGCTCTGTGCTCAGGCTGAAATTGAGCTTCCCACAATCAGACCAGGTGGCTGGGGGAAACAGGCTTTCTTGGTACCAGGGTCTCTGAAATTAAGCTCAGAACAGTTGCTGTCAGTGGTAAGGAGGTGGTGATGGGGAACCACTAGTCTTGGAGGGTAGCAAGGGATAGAGGGCTGGGAGGTGTGCATCCTGGGATGCTAGAGGAATGAAGGAAAGGGTTTTACCTCCTCTGACCATTCAAATAATACCCTGAAATGGCATGGGTAAAATGTTTCCAAGATAAACCTCCTTGAGAGTGGCTTACCTTTAAAACATTTAGAGGGTACTTACAATGGTTTAACATCCATTAGCTTATGACTGCTCTTGTTTTAGGTACCTTTATACCAGTTTTATTGTAACCTGTGCCAATGCCCTAGGTTTATGACACACAGAGACATGCAGATTGTAGAAATGCTTCACTGTGATCAAAAAGATGCTATTTAAAAAAAAAAAAAGACAGCATCAGAACAAGGCAACTTTCAAAGTGCCATAGGAAAATTTGTCTGCTTCTTTCTTTTTTACATGTACATATGTAAAAAACAAAACACATGTACTTTTCCATACATACAAGTTGTGCATTTTTTAAAATTTCAGTAGAAAAAACAGGCTCTCTTAAACAGCCCTTACAGACTGCACCTAGAACCCAGTGCTTGCATAATGTTATGTAACAACAGCTTGCAAAATCCATCTGGTCTGTATGTTTGCTGCAAATTGCTCTACCCCAAAAATGTGATCTGTACCTGTTGAAGCAATGCTTTGAAGGAGAAAGAACGTAATCTCATAGTTAGGATTTCCCCAGACTTTCCAAACATGAATCCCTAAAGAGAGTTAATGGGGGGGAGAGGAAAAAAAAACAAACAACTGTTCAATTTCATACAGTAGGCTACAATATCATATTAGGAATACCACACTGTTAATATGATGTTATATCAATTATTCATCTACCCAGTTATGCAAATGCATTGGAATGTTATCAGAAGGCAACATATATCAGGTATTACTGACCTAAGTTTGTCTGAAATTGATTATCCAGACAAGAATGATTCTCTATTCCATACTACACATTTGAGTCCCTCAGTGTATTGATTTGGGAAGAATTTATATAAAATATACCGAATGCCAAGTTGTTTTGTATTCCCCATAATAGCCTTGTAGTAAGAACTGAAAATCTTGACCAAAATGTATGTGGGCCAAATTCCCAGCCTTTAAACCAATGGATTTCTATCTTTCAGTGACTTCAGTAGAGCCGGTTTACACTAGTAAAAATATGGTCACGTATTTTTAATAGTAAAACACATGAATATCAGGATAAAAAAAACAAACAAACAACATATCCCAAAAGATGACTGGCAATTCAGGAGTTTTGTAGGATTTGAACAATATATTGTGTCTTCACTACAGTCACTGTCATTATACCTGAAGTATGATAAAGAACTAAAAACACCTGACATTTCAATTTAGCGAAGCTTACTTGGATGATGTGGGTCACTAAGGTGATCACTCCCAGCACAAGAAACATAAGAGAAAGCACCACAGTGTTTTTGTTCCTCTTATCAGGGTCTGTTTCTTGAAAAGCCTATATAAGAACAGCACAAAATTGAAGTGCACAGACATTGATTACCAGTTACATTAATCAACTTTGGCTCAGAAAACATTGGAGAAATTACTTAGCATCCCATTTTCTCACCTCTTTCCTGTCTCCTGAACCATGATTCACTTCTTAGCTGCTAGCACTTTACCTGCTTCTTTCTCCAACCCCAGCTCTCTATCAGGTCCTCTGCTCAGCTACCTTTCCATCTCTAGTTCCACTGGGACTTTACTAATTCTTGTCTGCCTTCCACCATATCTATTGAGGCCCCATCTACACATTACACTTAAGGCATGATTAAACAGTTAATCCCACTTTAAATTGTGACCTAGCCACATGTTCAATCAATTAATGGCATGATAAAACAAGGAATAAGCTACAAAGTTATTCCACAAAAAATGTGGAATAACTTTGTGGCTTGTTCTTTTAATGTCATTAATTGAACATGTGATCAGGTGCTGCCCTATGGCTGAAAGCCGCATCTGCTCAGAAGGTCTGCAGAGGAGGCAGCATTCCATGCACTGGGATTACAATCCCAGGCTCCCCCTGAACTGGCAATAAAGCATGATTGGAACTGATGCTGGATTCCACAGTCATGCCTCCTGCCATGCATATGTGGCATGGCAGGAGGAGTGACTGTGTGAATCATGCATCAGATCCCATTGTGGCTTTACCTGAACATCTAGGGGGCCCCCAACAGATGTTTAAAAAAAAGGTGTGATAGGATCTAATGCACAATCCCAATAACTGCATCTCCTCCCATGCCACATGTGCATAGCAAGAGGCAGGATTGTGGTGTTCGTCATCAGATCTCATCATGCCACACTACCAATGCGGGGGGAACCTGGGATTATGATCCTGGGCTACTTCCTGTATCGCCAATCATTGCTTCTAAGCCTGGGAGCCTCCTCAGCTGACAGAGCTCCCAGCCACATTGTAGTGGGGAAGGTACCCTGTGCTCCCATGATGGAGCATTGGGCACATGTTCAATTAAAGGCATAAGAACCAGCAACAAAGAACTTACAAAACATGGATAACAACTTTGTTGCTTATTCTTGCTTTTATCATGCCATTATTGAATAAATGTGTAGCCAGGTCACCAGGTCAAGTTAATCACGTCTCAAACATAATGCGTCAGACCATCCAGCTTCCTTCTAACCACTCTTCTCTTGCTGGAAGTTAAAAAAAGAAGTTTCCCTAGCTTCCAGGCTCCAACTATCCTCCCAATACTGATTCTCTAACATAATAGCACCTAGTAACTTCAAACAAATCACTACAGGAATCTCAAGGGAGACTGCATTCCCCCCTACCAGCCATAATGGGGTGCCTGAAGGCATGCAGAGATGTTGCTCTGATGCACTGTAATTACAGTGCATTGGAGCAAACTTGATTAATACATAAGACATTGAAAACACAAATGCTGCAGGTGCTTTAATTAGAGCAGCTCTCACAGCTGCTGTAATTAAAGCACCCATTCATTGTAAAGTTTCACAACTATACCAAATACTGACAAACCTGTAGCAGAGTGACTTCAATGTTGAGTCAGGTACAAGACAGGAAGTATATACAGCATTAAGTGAAGGCAGAAAGTTTTAAGAAGTGACTTGAGGGACAAGAAGGTAGTTTGTTGTCCTGAAAGAATGAAATGATTCCTGTGTGGGGGGCTGGCAAATAGGCAAGAAACATCATATGGGGATACTATAGAGAGGACTGGCTTGCTGTTAGAGCAGGACTGAAAGTTCTGTATATGTGTTTTGTTTCAATTAGTTCACTATACAGCTCTGAACTTACCCCAATGATTTTTCCAAATATAACAGCAAAGGCAGGATAGACCCCCCCTGAGATGGCAGCAGCAATCACACCAGACAATATATACCACCACTCAGGCTTGTTCAGAGCCAGAATTCTGGAGTAAGGCACAGCAGGGAGTTTTTCTTCCTACATGAGAGAGGCCAAATTCAAATTTTCACTGAAAGTTTTAGAATATAACAATGCCCACAGAGCAGGGATAAATCAGTTGCTAAGTAATGAAATAGCCTTGCAAATGCTGAAAGAGTTCATGCCAGCCTCAAATACCCACTGTCTACAAGAGCAAATATACTGGAGGTTTGCATCAGTCTAGTTCTACATCTTGTTGAAACTTCAATTGCAACATCAAAAAAATCTGGAGGCAGAAATTTAACAAAAGGCAGAGTGATGGAGGAGAGGGGTCTATATAGTTCAACAAAAAGTCAAATAGAATCACTCACTGTGAATGGCAACTTTAACACATGAATCATTATAAGGAACTAAAAAGTCTCACTGTTCAGAGCACAAAAAGATCAGTCTAGTTCAGTCTCAACTAAATGTTAGTGGGTTGGCAATAGTACAATTGGGTATACTTATGTCAATTAGCCTGTTTCTTGTTTTACAAAATATAGTCTTTGCATCATTACCAGAAGCACAGAAAAGGCATATGAAACAATAAGTAGCCTACATATCTTTTGAAAAATACAGGCAAGCTCAATTCAACTTCACTGAGCTATTGCACTGATCATGACTTTGAGGAAGTTCAGGAAAGGGAGTAATGAAAACATAGGGACTGATATACAATATTAAATGAGATTAAAAAAAAAAAAAAAAATCAGTTGCTATTGCTTCCTGGTTTATTTTTCTGGGTTTCAGACACTGAAAAGTGTGGCTACACTTCAACCATAAAAACATGTTGAATTTTCTGAAATAAATTTGAATGGCTGCATAAATAATTTTTCACTTTACTGTAAACACAATGAATGCTGAAGTCATGAATATTTCCACCCACTACTTCCTCTGAGAAGACTGAATGCAGTAATAAGAAATAGACAAAAAGTGAATTCTGGACTGGTGTATTTTTATGCAATATATACCAAGACTGTACCAGTAGGGTATGGTATAATGAGGGTAGGTGTGTTATGGATTCTAAAATTATATTCAATAAGAAAACATATTATTACTAGCCTAACTTAAGCCAATGGCAAATCTCCCATGGATGTCAGTGGATCCAGGCTTCAGCCCTAAGCTTTTATTCTTGACCTTTTGCACTAGAAGATCTGAAGTCCACTGAAAAAGTTTCCACTGCTTTTCCTCCCAGCAACTTGATACAGAGATGTGAATAATTTGACTGTACACTTTAGAAGGACTTTAGAAACTGGATCTATTAAAGCATATACTGAGGGACCTGGCTGATGGGGAAAAAAAACCAACACAAAAAACCTTTTCTGTTGTTTTAATTTAGGTTACATTTCAAAAGTGCAGATTTTTAAAAATCTGTTTTCTCAATTTAGTTTGTGTCTAATACTTGTATTAATGATAATAGCTTGCATTTATATAGCACTTTTCATCCCAAAATGCTTTGCAAACTAGATCTCATAAGGATATAAGGATCATGTAATCCACCAGAAAAAACTGCACAGAAGTGTTAACAATTCACATCAGGAAGCAAAGAGTACTGCAATTGTTTTAGGCAGTGGAATTTAGTTATTTGAGTCACAGGTTGGCCAGGACACCAGAATTAACACCTTCATATTATGAATTATGACAAGAAGTTTTACATCAACAAAGATGAACTTAACTGCACAACACTTTTTAATACAAGGCCGACTGTCGGATTCAGAAGGTGTCAAGAAATTACACTGATGTGTTAAACCTGTGAGTGCCCTGAAGACTCTCAATTTAAGTATTCACTTAGATTAATGTTGCAGATGACAGGGTCATAACAAAGGTGGCATGGCTGAAGGCATGAAAAAACAAAAACAGAAAATAGGCCCCTAACCAGCTTTATCTTGTTCTCACAAGTTAGCACTAAACCTTTGAATGGAATTTTAGCACTAACCTCTCTCTCCTTTGTTTTCTTCTTCTTTTCAGAATACTTTTTCTTAGAAGAGCGTTTTCTGCTCTTATGCCTGCTGGATCTCTTATGAATGCTTCCTTTTTCAATGATTCCTAATTTTTCAAAGCTACCACATTCAGTCAAATTCTGTTGTCCAATTTCATTTAAATCTGCTTCCTCATAGTCGTCATCTTCTGTCTCTTCGTCTCCTTCTGACATCTCGTCACCATGAACATTTTCATAATGACCCTAGTGACAACCAAGGAATGGTTATACACCATTGCAAAACAGTTAGTAGCAAAGGGAATTAATTATAATGCTTGTTGGGAACAAATAAAAATAAATTTTTGGTCGCATGGCTATGTTCACCTCCTGATTTCTGTAGGCTGAATTCTCTGCTTGTGTAAAATGTTACAGGCCCAATTTAGACATCAGGAAACTTGGCTCTGTATGCTTCTCCCCCTATCTTTATTTCTCAGTCAAATTTCTGATCCAATAGTTCTGTGAATAGACACTAATAATTTATTCCACCTCTGTAAATCAGTTATGTTTTTGATGTATTATACCACATAAATATGAAGCACTGGTACAGGTGAAGAACAATTACTTCAGGCTCATAAACAAGACTGAATGATCAACTTTCAATCAGCTAGAAAACTAGCAGGAACTACAGGGTGAAAATGGCCCAGCAGTTTGAGTGCAGAACTGCATGTGTCAGCAATTACATCAAAGAGATATTACAGAGGTGATTTTCTTGAGCTGCAATAGGCAGTAAATCTGAAGCACGTAAGTCAGTAGCTCTCAATCACATATCATTACCTGCTGCATTACAAGAGAATAGTAGACTCCCTTCTGTGCCATGAGTTCATTATGTGTTCCCTGTTCAACAAGCATGCCTCTCTCAAACCCAGCAATAATATCAGCATTCCTGATTGTTGAGAGCCTGTGAGCTATCACAATGGTGGTACGTCCAGCCCTAGCCTTAGGGAAAACAACATAAAGCAAAATAGAACAAAACAAAAACACAAGAAGTTTTACTTTTAAATTGAATTAAGCTGACAATGAGCAAATGACACAGAACATTCCATTCTAAAAACCCTGCAACCTCTTATACTTAACTGCATTCATGAAAATAATGGTCATGCATGCATTTCCGATTATAGAATCCACATGTATTGTGACAAGGGAAACCGTATTAACAGGAGTACGGATACCAATGTCTATAATTAAAGATGCCTAATAGAAGACCTATTTTCAGTTGTATTATAAATAAATTTATAAACAACTAATACTAAAACTAATGCTATTACTACTAACATTTAAAGAAGTACCTGGTTGCTTTATTTATATTATACATTTTCCACAGCTATTTAGTTGAAAGAGTCCAGAACTTTCATCCTTTAGAGTAGGAACTTGACATCTGGAGGGGTGGGACAAGCCCTGCTGATGTCAGATGGTGGGGGGGAGGTTGCTATCCCTATTACAATCTATATAAAACTGGCTAAATTTATAAACAATTGAAAATCTCAGTTCATTTTTTTTTTTTTTTTTTTTTTAGAGCTTGGCAGTTACATTATCTGAAGATTTAGCCTGTAATGAATATGCTTCATCCTGTTGTAGCTCCTGCGAGCATACTAACTGTCACTGCACAATTCCCACAGAGCAACTGAGTGCTCATTCTTCAACCTGGGACTGCAAGAGTCGAGAAGAACTTTTTCTATCATTATATGTCCCTGAATCCAGGGACATAAGAATGGCAGGCACAGGAACCAAACACAGTAAGAGAAGGATGAATGGTGTTCATGGAATGAGCAAGATGTGCATCAAAGCAGTCTGCTGTAGGAACCAGGCCACATCTGTCGCAGAAGCTGGAGGGAGTGCAGTGAATGGGACAAGGGACTGAGGAAGAGAAAAGGATTCTATCTTGCCTTTGTCACAGAAGCCTTTGCAACTGCTTGGCAATTTACATCAACAAAATTTATCGCGAGTTGCTAACTCTGTACCCCTCTTTTTCTATGTAACCAATTAAAAATTATTTAGTCTATTTTGTGGAGTGGGGTGAGGAAGGAGTGCTCACAGATGCAGCTGAAGTCAGTAGGAGCTGCGCTTTGAACAAATGAATGACAAACATTTCTCTCAAAAATCAGGTCATGGGGACCTTGAATTGGAGACCTAAACATAGCAGGTATATGTATAAATAGGTGCTGGGACAGTACACTAAGTGATAAGCATAAAATAAATATGGCACAGCTGCTCATTCACTGAGTAACATCCAGCCTGTGTACAGTATAATGAAAAGACCATGAGAAAAAAAATCTCATAATTGCTTAAAGGGATTGCGATTAATTTTCATAGCAACTTCATAACACTAAAACAAACATATATCCCCATTAGTACCAATGCCCTCATTTAAAGCCTTGCTTCAAACCAGTGGGAAGGTGCCTTGAAAAAACATATGCTATCTGGTTGTTGTGTTTCCTTCTGCTGGCTAGGAACTTTATCAAGATGACCCCTACCTTATCAAGAGCAGTCTGCACTATGGATTCACTCTGAGTATCCAGAGCAGATGTGGCTTCATCCAGAAGGAGGATCTTGGGATTCCTTGCCAGGGCGCGGGCAATAGCAATTCGTTGTTTCTGTCCTCCACTCAGCTGAGCTCCTCTCTCTCCCACCAGAGTATTAAATTTCTGAGAAAATCATGGAGGAATCAAGATTGTAGAAGGGCTCAGGTGAAATCTTTTAGTGCTCTAGTTAGCTATGAGTATTGCAAACTAAAATGTTCTCTCTCTTTTTTTTTTTTTTAAATGTCATGACATATGGTTAAGTATAATGCATCTATCACAGAGAAAGTTTAAAAATATTTATTGCTAAAAGTCTTATCCTAGCCAACTACATTCAATTTCTGTCCTCCTCCTGGAGGCAGATGAAAGATTTATTGTTTCTAATTATCAGTTTACATATTTGTCTTCTTACCACCTTCAGTTTGGTTAGAAAAATCAGTATCTGGCATCTTGGTTTTTATTAGATTAAAATATACTCTAAAATCAGATTTTTAGTTATTACAAAAACAAAGTGATAGAAGTGAAATAAGAGACTAGAACTGCCTGAAGGAATCCAGATATCTAACTGCTTAACAATAACAGTAAAAGACTATCAGAACAGCTTAGTTAAAATAATAAAAAGGGGGATTCAAGGAGGGGTGAGGGGATAATATTTAGCAAAAAAAAAAAAAAAAAAAAAAAAAAAAAAAAAAAAAAAAAAAAAAAAAAAAAAAAAAAAAAAAAAAAAAAAAAAAAAAAAAAAAAAAAAAAAAAAAAAAAAAAAAAAAAAAAAAAAAAAAAAAAAAAAAAAAAAAAAAAAAAAAAAAAAAAAAAAAAAAAAAAAAAAAAAAAAAAAAAAAAAAAAAAAAAAAAAAAAAAAAAAAAAAAAAAAAAAAAAAAAAAAAAAAAAAAAAAAAAAAAAAAAAAAAAAAAAAAAAAAAAAAAAAAAAAAAAAAAAAAAAAAAAAAAAAAAAAAAAAAAAAAAAAAAAAAAAAAAAAAAAAAAAAAAAAAAAAAAAAAAAAAAAAAAAAAAAAAAAAAAAAAAAAAAAAAAAAAAAAAAAAAAAAAAAAAAAAAAAAAAAAAAAAAAAAAAAAAAAAAAAAAAAAAAAAAAAAAAAAAAAAAAAAAAAAAAAAAAAAAAAAAAAAAAAAAAAAAAAAAAAAAAAAAAAAAAAAAAAAAAATCAAAACACAGTTGATTTGGCACAACAGGAATCCATTGTTGTCTATAGAAGTCCTTCACCTACCTTACTATATTTTAAAAAAAAGAATCTGGGCATGTGATATATGGTGATTATTATACAGTAAACTGTAAGCCAAAATTCCTTGTAGGGTAAATGGGTAAAACTCCACTGAATAGCTAGTCTAGCCGTAGCCACTTACATATAGCCACAGGCTACCTCATAAGCTAAAACAAATGAAGTTTGTTCGCATGGTACTGTGCCCAGACTAATTAGCTCTGCTATGGGGCAGAGCTAATTAGTCCATCAGAGCTGCACTAAGGCTGTACAATAACGGTAACCATATGCCAGGTATATTTCTTCTAGTTTCAGATGTATGTCAAGTATCTGGGCTTCAGACCAGAATCTGCTCCCTGAGAGAAGTTTGCTTTCAAGTATGAGTGCTTTCCTGGAAGATGTAGGCGTATATCCTGTTAGATAGAGGAAGAAATTTACCCGCTAAATTCTGGGCGAGTACTCTAACCAGTGAGTGAGAGGTAACTCATTTTTTGGATGCTATCATTTATTGGACCAACTGCATAGTTGGGATAAAGTTAGACAATCTTTCAAATGCAAGACATTTTTCTTCAGGTATGAACTACTGGATAGGGTGGGCAATTACTATGGATGGGGGCCACTTAAGTTCTGGTGAGGTGTCTAGGGCTGCACACACAAAATCTTTTAGAAGATATCCTTTTAACAAATTATAGATTAAAACCAGATCATGTACTAAAAATGTAACCTGGATGGTTGAAGTCACACTGACAGCAGCCCTGCTGGGAAGGTTTGCATGCTGGCTGAGGCTGGGGCTGTCAGGGGCATTGGTGGGAGTGGGAGGGTCTCAGCCCTATGTGGATCACTGCAGGGGCAGCCATAGGCCAGATTCAATAAACTGGTGTGTCAGTTTATGGGCCAGATCCAAATCAGTTGGCGGGCCGGATTTGGCCCTCATGATGTATTTTGCCCACCCCTCATGATTTGATAGACCTCTATCATACTCAGCCCATATCTCGCAGCTTTCTGAAGAAATCTCTCTCTCTCTCTCTCATTATTTTCTACTGGCCAACTTAGGCAGCTTGCCAATTTTGCTTGGTTGCCTAACTCTTCCCATATATTGTTTGAGAGCCTAAACTTCTAAGTTAGAGGTTGCAGATTCTGCTGTGATGGAAAATTTAGGCACAAGAACAGTAAGTGTTGCAACGCCCAAGGCCTTTTGTGGATTTAACCCTAAAAGGCATTCAAAACCTCATAACTCACATCAGGCAGTCTGGATATAAAATCAAAAGCATTTGCTTCTTTCGCGGCTTGCTCAATTTTGACATCACTAATATCCTCTCTGCCATAGCGAATATTTTCAGCTATTGTAGTTGCAAACAAGACAGGCTCCTGGCTCACAATGCCAATATTTTCTCTTAGCCACTTGACATTAAGTGTTCGAATATCTCGCCCATCTAAGGTAATCTGGGAAGAAATGCAAATGTTAAATAGCCTGCAGAAATCTGTTTTGTTTAAAACAAAAAAAAGATTACTTTCAAATAATTGTTTGAATGGGTGACAAGTATCTGTACAGAAGCTGCTCACATGGTTATATTTTTTAAGGTAGAAATAAAAAATGAACAGGAGAAATTAAATATCTATCTTTTTAGATATTGCATACACTGGGAGACTAAGGAGCAGGATAAACATATAGGGTAGCACCAGGTACTCAGACCGCGACCTCACATATAAGAATAAAAGTCTACTAGGCTGTTAATACTACATTGCCCCCAGGAAATCTGAGCGCTTAAAAAATCCAAAGTTTTCTTCTGGATTGTAGGATTTTTTTTACTTAAAATTAAGTTAATTAACCCCTCCCCCCCCTTATACAAGAGGCAGTAATACATTAATCTGTGCTACTAGAACAGAATATACTCCAAATAAGAAAAACAAATATTAAGTAGAGCTGGTTGATTTTTTTTATTTATTTTTTTGCTTATTATGAAAATATCTTGTCCTAAATGCAATTTTAATTGTGTGATTTCCTTGTTTTCCAGCAAAAAAAGTATATACTGTACTTTGTTTCTTTTAAAAGAAAAGTCTAGAATAAGAAACCTCTGTTCCTAGAACAGAGTTTATGTTCAGTGAAAATGAAGTAAACCACGTGCAGACCGACCCATGGTATTATATGTTCTATAACTGGGCTGTTCAGCTTCTAGGCAGCTGGGGGTCATCTGGGCTGCCAGCTGCCTGTCACGCATAAGGCACAGGCTGCAGAATAAGAGCTGTTTGCTGCATGGTCATCTCCTTCCTTGGGATCTCTCCCTCAACAAGGGCAACCTAGTACATGCACACAGCACAGACTGCCTGGCCCCACCCCACTCCCAACTATACCTACTGCATGGACAGCCAACACTCCCCTCTTGGCCACCAAGCAGCTCAGCTCCTCCCCCACCCTTGTCAGCTGCATATGCCTAATGGACAGCCTTCCCGCCCTCCCCTCCCCACTGCAGTGCACACAGAAGGACAGATCCTCCTCCCCTCCCAGCTGCATGCCCACCTGTAGTGCTGGCAGCTTGGTTCCTGCTTTTCTTGCACACACCATGAGCAGCCCAGCCTCCTCCTCACCATGTCTGCAGCATGGGTCCTATGAGCCCCCATGGTGCGTGCAGCTTGGGCAGCCTAGTCCTCTCCAGGTGCACTGCCACTAGGGTGGCCATCATAGAGGACATTCCGGTTTTCTGCTACTCTGTCCTCTATTGATACGAAACCCGATGCCTTTATATCCTCTATTTTTCTCTTCAAGAGGAGGATATTTTTCCCTTCAAGAAGAGAAAAATAGAGGATATAAAGGCATCCTGTTTTGTATCAATAGAGGACAGACCGGTCTGTCCTCTATGATGGCCACCCTAACTGCCACATCCACCCAGAGTGTGAGCAGGAAGTACAAGCTGGAGGAGGGCAGGGAATCCCAAAGAACCTAGTGGCCATGGCATGATCAACAATGGTTGGGGGGGGAAGGAGGGATGGGTAGTGGCAGTCATGCTGGGAGCCCATGGGCCACCTGTTAAACCTCTGGGGGCTGCATATGGCCCATGGGTTGCTAGTTAGACAGCTTTGTTCTGCAAGATAGAGCAGTGGTTCTCAACCTTTTTTTTTTGGACTTTAGGCACCCTTCACTGGACTCAAGCCAGCCCTCCATAATTTTTGTGAACTGTGGCGCACACTTTCAAAAACGAATTAATACATTACAGTGCTTACTTCCTTGCGGGGGGGGGGGGGGAAAACCCCTCAGGAGATAAGCAGATAAATGCAGGCTAACACTTCACTCATCTCCTCACAGTTCATGGCACCCTTAAAAAGATCTGGTGGCACTCCAGAGTGCCTCGGCACCCTCGTTGAGAATCACTGATACAGACGAAAAGGGAAGTAAATGTTGGAAGGGACTTCTAGGGTCCAGTTCCCTTGAGAAATTACACATATTTTGAAATTTCCAGTATTTGGTTGTTCTTGCTGACTAGATACAGGAATGCAGAGTGCTTGTGGAAGACAAGCAAACACCATTTTAAAAAGTGAAAAAAAAATAGTTCACTTTGTCCAGGTTCTTTAGTTAATTGTGTAGAATAAGTGCCCATAGTTCAAAACCATAAACAAAATTGCAATACGTCTTTTTAAAAAGTGCAGGTTCAATCTATCCTGAAAATTAAAGTTTATCTTAGTATTTGTTAGTATCTACAATTCAAGTGCACTTACCTCTCCTTGGACTGGATCATAGAATCTCTGCAGAAGCTGGATTGTAGTGCTTTTGCCACAGCCACTGGAACCAACCAGAGCAATGGTCTTTCCTGTTTGAACTTTCAGACTCAGACCACTAAGAATCTGGAAACATAATCTTCATATTTTAGTCTGATAAGCCTAAAGGTAGCTAAATCAATGGTTTGGTTAGAAAACAGTCTGCTAGGATGCTTGCCATCACAAACAAGGCAATAATAAAAGTTGTGGACTTCTAAGAGTATGATGAACTTGCAGGTCTATTCTCTCTCCTTTGTTTCCAATCCTGGCTCTGACAGATTTCTATGACCTTGAAAAATCAATTAGGTTTCTGGTTTGAGGTTTTTCTAGCTATACAATGGGATAATACTTGGTTATTAACCTTACAGCACCTTGAAGATGAAAAATACTTTGATTTTTTAATAGTAAGCTTGTTTTGTTCTGTTTCTTATTTTATTAAGGCTTTTTACCCCAAGCCAAAAACCAAGGTGGGTGTTTTCATGTCTCTGGTTAGAAAAAGAGGACTAGAGATTCAACACCCTACCATTTATTACTAAGGAGTTAGTTATGGACCAATAGTGCCTTTTAGGCCATTTTCACATTTAAAAATATTTTCCCTCAAAAATATTTCTATTCATTGCATTTCATACATGACTAATTTAGTAACTATTTGGCTGCTATGAGAACCCTCTTCATGAATACCAGGCTGATGTATGATTTTGCTTACATATTTCTTATCCAAAAAAAAAATTAAACCAATTATAGTATTGTTATTGTTTCTTTTTTTCACTATACCTGAACAGCTCCACTTCTCTAGTAAACTAGTATTATACATGTTCTGTGATATCTGCATGACCAAGAAAGAACAACATTCTGTATAGGATATTATGCTGTTTCCCAAGACATTGAAAAGCTCATAAACTACTACCCAGTCTTCATCCTTTCTTTATTGGGTGTCCAAGGTAGGGTCCTCCAATGCCTTTGATATGATTCAGTCAAAATGTGGGTCCTATATGGAGACTGCAAGGTTTTGTATATGATAAGTCTATGGAAGGTGATGGATGAGAACCAAATGTTCATGCCATTTTCTTACTTCTGTTATTTGCCCTTGACACAACTGGCAGTGAGATACAAGACAGACTGGACTCTGGAAGGGATGGATAGTAGGGCTGTGCAAAGTTTCAGTCCCCAATTCGTTTCGGTGGAGATTTGGCCCAATTTAGTGGCCAAATCTCCAAATCTGAATCAAATCAGGAGACCCTTTAATATCTCCAAATTGAAATCAGAACCCTACAAATCTATTTGGAGAGATTCAGAATGATTCAATGATTTGGATATAGACACAGCTTTACATGTTTTTTCTACATACCTCAAGGTACCAGGCAGCTCGTGAATGCTGTGATGGTGGGGCAGATGGTGCGTACCACAGGAGCGTGGAGGGCACCCCAGCACACTCGGCAGCAGACCCGGAAGTGGACCAGAAGCACTTCCAGTCCAATTCTGGGTCCGCTGGGGGGCCTTCCTGTGCCCCCCTCCCAGCTCGGCAATTGGTGCCTTCTGAGCCTGGGTGGGCACCCAGGGACCTCCCCCACCGCCATTCACTGAGCCAGAGGGGCATGGGGGTGCCCCCCAGCAGGCTTGGTGGTGGACCCCAAAGTGGACCAGAAGTACTTCCAGTCCACTTCCAGGTTTGCTGCTGAGCATATGGGGGGCCCCCCCGCCATGCTCCTGTGGGATGCTCCATCCACCAGCGTTCACGCGCCATGCCTGGTACTTTGAGGTATGTAGAAAAAAAACATTTAAAAGCTGTGTTTATGGTCGAAATCGCTGATTCAGCATTGAATCTTTAGATTCGGCCATATTGAGTCAGGGACAGTGATCTATATCAACAAATTCACTGTCCCCGATTCGGGCCAAATGTAAAACCAATATGGCCCCTTTCGCACATTCCTAATGGACAGTTCTTTGTCTCCATTTCCTCAGACCCAGCTTATGCAGTTGCTCGCCATACTTTATATCTTGCTGATTGTTAGCTGTGACTTCTCAATGATGATTCATGTAGGGTTGAGGAGCCATCAGAAGAAATGACAGAAGTGAAAGCAGTATCCTCAAGTAAGTGAATATATTCAATATTTGATTATTTGTTTGCAACCTACTAGGATCCCTAGCAACTTCTGAAAGGCCAAGAAGCAGTGGTAATAAATGCCCTTGTTTTGACACTTGTCAAAGTGTTTGACAAAAGTTTTTTTGTTTGTTTGTTTGGTTTTTTTTTTTGTTTTTTTTTTTACAAGCAGGATGTGATATTCCCTGCTCTGTGATTTGTCCTACTTTCCATAAGCAATTTAAAAACAATTATTTTAACTCAATAAGCCTTAACACGAGTTGAGAACTGACTATGTCTCAGATCACCTCTCCCCACATAAGATATTAGAACAGTTGCGATCTTTTAAAGCACTGAAGCTAAAAAGACTTCATGAAGGCAGTGTGTGCTTGGTGAGAGATCTTGAAATGTGAAATTTGCTTCTGATTCAAGTCACCTGCATTTAAACCCTGATTCCTTTATGTTTTCCTACGATTTTTCCAACAGGGGAAAATGATAAGCAGACAGATGGTGGCAGCGAAGACAGTGGACTAGTTTTTGACATTCTTTCCTAAATTATAAGTAGTGTATGTATTTTCAGGGATGGGTACAATTTTTATAGTTTCATAGTTGGTAGGGTTGGAAGGGACCTGAGCAGATCATCAAGTCCGACCCCCCTGCCGTGGCAGGAAAGAATGCTGGGGTCAAATGACCCTGGCAAGGTGATTATCTAGCCTCCTTTTGAAGACCCCCAGAGTAGGAGCAAGCACCACTATCCTTGGAAGTTGGTTCCAGATCCTAGCCAACCTGACTGGGAAGTAGTGCTTCCCAATGTCTAGCCTGAATCTATTCTCAGTCAACTTGTGGCTGTTATTCCTAGTTGCTCGTGGTAGTACTCAGGGGAACAGGGCCTCTCCTATTCCCTGCTGATTCCCCCTAGTAAGTTTATAGATAGAAAATCCAGCCTTGAACTTGCAACTCTATGGCCCCCGAGTTAGCACACTGTCCTCTAAGCCAGGCAAGTAGGGCTGCATTTTGTTTAAATACTTCAAAATAAATATATTAAATTGATACATTTTAGTGTTCATTTTAATCACATGCAGGCATCAATTTCATTATTACACTACTATATTTTAAAAGAATACTTACTCTAATATCAGGTCTAGATGGGTAACTAAAATGTATATTTTTGAATTCAATTTCTCCTATGAGCCTCTCTGGTTTGTATCCTTCTTTGGCACTGCTATCTATAAGACGTGGCTGGAGAAAGATTTTGAAAAATATATTATGAATTTTTATGCTATTGAAACTGCACTTTTAACTAATACATTATTCTTCACTTCCTGTCCTAAACCATCATGTTATATGCAGAACACTGTTACATAGTTGTTCCATTTCAGCCTAGAAAGTGGTGCATTTCAATGGAATGCAATTCATTGGTGGCAAAGCATTTTGGATTGAAAGGCACAACAAATAATGCATGTTATTAGATGTACCTGTCAATGGGAACATTTTAGAAAATGGAGGTGGTGGGCTAATTAATTTTGACTGATTTTGCAGATAAGACATTTTCAAATACAAAGCATTATCCAAAATCCCGAATAACAAGTGGTCAATAATTGGAATATTTGAGCAATAGTACCAATGTTTGGGTAAAATTCTACCCTTAGTTATACATGTGGAACTTTAAAGAAATTAGGAAGATAGGACTCAGCCTTTTGTTTCTAATCCAATAAAAAAACCCTGCATTTTATAATTTGGTTACCATCTTTTGCATTAAAAGATATATAACTGCTGTTGAAAGGAGAAAGAATTAGTTACTAAGAGGGTGCATCTACAAATACAATTAATTAATTAATGAAGAGGGTGCATCTACATATGCATCTACACATGCAGCATCTACATGTATGCCTCGGACAGCAAGAATTTGAGCCAGGGCAGAGCAGTTTACACCCTCATCACTGTCTACACATTTTGGTGCAGTAAAGTACTCTGCTGTAAGGTAGTACTGTCCCCAACAGTATTATCCTACAAGTTTACTGAATCATGTATAGATAGTGACATGTTACTGCAGAGCTAATTAGTCTGTTCTGTAGTAAACTGACCCACCCAGAGTGCAGCATCCTTCTTCAGCAACAGCAGTATTGTTATAGCTTTCAGGAGCACTGTTAATTTCTAAATCAAAAGCTAGTTAGGTGTAACAGAGCTAAGGATTCAGGTTCATGTTCCTAAACATGAGTCAAAATGTCATAGTTATGTTGTGAGTTGTAAAAATCTTTGTTATGAATTAATCTATGTTATCAGTGAATATGTTATGAACCAAAAATTTAAGCTATATGCTTAACTACCTTATTAATAATTTTGTATACTTCATAGGCAGCACCACGTGCATTGGCAACACTCTCCAAGTTTGGGGATGCCTGTCCAAGAGAGAACGCGCCAAGAAGCACAGAGAAGAATACCTGCAGTGAACAAAAACAGGAGCTCTGGTTAACAAGGATTCTAGATCCTCACTTTCCTTAGTGGAAAATGCCCAGATAATTTTGTAAGGACTATTTCAGAAAGAAAAAAAAAAAAAAAGAAAAATACAAAAATCAAAACCCACAATTACTGCTGCATTCTTTCAGCTCCCTTTGCTGTTATCCTCATGGTGAAAGATTGTAAATGTAGCCATTATATGCAACCGTATGCTCTTTAACTGTTTGAACAGCTTTTGCTGTTGTGGAAGCATAAGACAACAGCAAAGAGGACAAATAGTGAAAGTAAACATCTTTTTCCACCTTTCATCGAATTAAAAACTTTTTTCTTCCGTAAAGGAATGAAGCCACTGGTTCCAAGTTGAGGGCCCCATCCTGCAACACATGTGCTTAAGTTTATGCATTGAGAAGTTCCAATGAAGTAAAGGAATTCAAGCTACTTAGAGTACATAACATTAAGCACAAGTTTAAGTTTATTTATTCAATTCCAAATAATCCCCAAATATCAGTAAGGTAAAGTAATTCCTTTCAAGTTATCTGGCTATGTGACTAAATAAGCTATCGTTAAGGCAACTTTGATATCTTAAGGACATATCCAGAATCTCTGTTGAATTATATTAATTGTATCTTTAAGTTAGTACAAGATACTTTAAGTTTAACTAGGTACTATGCATAGTTACATACAGTACTTAAAGAGCAAGCATTTTCTCCAATTCATTGACAATTTTACAAAAGGTTGCTTTGCCAGTTATACTATACGCTGTGCTTACAATTAAAACTCTCCCAATGTCATAGTTTTCTCTCTCTTCCACCGTGAGCTTGGTTCCATACCAAAATGCAAGAGCATAGGATCCAAATATAAGAAACTGAGAGAGACCCAAAGATGTGTTGGTGGTGATGGACTTTTTCACTCCGACACTTCTGGCATTCTCTAAGTTAGCATCGTATCTGAAAACAAATCATGAAATGTTAACTATAATAAGTGCCTGCACATCATTTATATTGGAATTCTTCAGTTTCCTTTCAGCTTACAGGGTTTTTCTTCTATAACATTCCATTGTTGGACATAGTGAACACTGATAAGTTAGTTCAGTGGTTGTCAACCAAGGTACACGTAGCCCTAGGGGTACCTATAGGGAGTATTCAGACCTAGGTGTCACTGCTAAATTCCATGTGTGTGCGCACAGCTACAGACCAGCATGCACGCTGCTAGGAGAACAGCTGGGTCTGGCTGGTAAGTATGTTGTGAGGGAAGTGGCTGGAGGAAGGAGCGGATAGAGGCCCCAGTGGTGGGGAAGGGAGTGGGGCTGGGGTGCCGGACTGAGCCACACGGGGGATGGCTCCCACCACTGTGCACACCCCAAGAGGGTATAGTGGATGTGTGCCCCCAGATCCGAGTGGGACAGGGCGCAATGCTGCTGTAGGCTGGGACCAGGGCTGCACCAGGCTGTTCCCAGCAGAGGCTGAGCCGGGCTGTGCTCTGGGTAAGAAGTGGTGGCACTGGGAGGGGACTATGGGAGGGGCTTCAGTCACCCCAAAATTCACTGTAGCCTCCCTGATAGCCCCTTTCTGGCACTGCTGCTGCCCACCCCAAGCTTAGCCTGGCCTAGCCCGCTCCTGCAACTGCCCAGTGCCAGCCCAAGACTGCAGCTGCAGCCAGTCCTGCCTCGTGTGCAGAACCAGGGGCACACCCCCCGCTCCCCTATGCCGTCCTGGTGGTACATGCAATGTTAGGAGCTGGGGTGGAGTGTGGGACAGAGCCACAGCTTGTTTGGGGGGCAGGGGGAGGTGGGTGGTAGCTCCCACCACTGCGTGCACCCTGGAAGGACACGGGGGCGTGTGCTCCCATATCTGCACAGGGCAGGGTGGGATATCACTGAGTTGGGGCAGCGCTGGGCTCTTCCTGCTCTGACTCGGCCAGGCTGTGCTTGGGGTGGGCGGCAGCAGTGCTGGAGGAGGGCAATGGGGGCTGTAGCCACTCCAGAATTTGCTGTAGCACCCCAATACCCCTTCCAGTACCACCACTGCCTGCCCTGAGCACAGCACTGCCCAGCCCCTGCCTGAAACTGCCCAGCACCAGCCCCAGCCCACAGCGGCAGCCCACCCTCCCTCATGCAAATCCAGGGACACACGCCCCTGTGCCTTTCCCAGGATGTGCGTAGCTGCGGCAGCCACCTCCCACACAACTCAATCCTGTGCCCCATCCTGGCTGGGCAGCCCCAGCCCCACTCGCTCCCCCACCACTGGGCCAGCCCACCTTCGCCCCATGCACAGATCTGGGGGCACACACCCCCATGCCCTCCTGGGATGTGTGCATCAGCAGGAGCCACTACCCACTCCCCGTGCTCCCTGGATGAGCTGCTTGAAGCTCTGTCCGGCACTCTGCCCTGGCTGCACAGCCTCAGCTGTAGCCCCACTCCCTCCCCCTCACCGTGGGGGCCTCAATTTGTGCCCCCCCCCACACCCCTTAAAAACATGAAAAAATATAAAGGAGTACCTGATCTGGAACTTTGAGAGAGAAGGGGTACACTTGTTAGAAAAGGTTGAAAACCCCTGGGTTAGTTAAAAAAAAAGGTGTTTATTCTTCTTCCATATCCCCTCTAGCCTTGTAGTTTTCTGTGTGTGAATAACTGTTCATGTTCACTGCTAATTCTTTTGGCACAGTATGTACAAAACTTTCAACATGTTCTCACCCAAATATGGAAACACTCAAAGTGAGGGGCAAGATTGAAGCAGTAGGAAAGGTATCCTTGAATGATTTGTAATGGATTCCTTTCATGAAACATGCTCAGATACCATTGGAGTAATACAGATTAGATCAAATAAATAAATTTGCAAATAAGTTTTTGTTATGTCTTAAGCACTGGTTTAAAACAATGTTGAAGCCCTTCGTAAAGAATTCCTTTACGATTGTGATCCAAGGCAGCTTAACTATAAGCCCATTAGTCAGTTATGTCAATAGAAGTGTACATGTGCTTAAATTAAAGCACTTGACATGCTCAGCTGAACTGGAGGGTCCAAAGCATTTGGCCCCAGCAAACTTCTTGTGGGCTGGATGAACCACTTCCAGCAGCAAAGTAGTGGCTTGTTGGTGGAGGTGATGGAGCTGCTGCATTGGCATCGTTCTGGAACTGAAGGGTTTTATACTGCTACCACTTACCCCCACCTTTCCCCTTACTTTTAGTCATCAGTGGTGACCAAAGACATCCAAAGTTTGGATGTGGACAAAGTGGGGGAGGGGCAAGCAGGATCCACTCTCTGAATTCACTGGGGTGCAATTCAACCCCTGTGTGGGCTGCATTTTAACCACCTGTAGGCCACATGAGGCCCACAGGACACCTGCTGCAGAGCAATGAGCTAGAGGGACTTTTTCTCTATCTTCATGTAAGACTTCCAGTTGTCTGGGGGATAAATTAACAGATCTTTTGTGATTTTTTTTTTTTTTTAAAAAACCCAGTATTTTTTAAAAATTGAATACAAAAGTTTCTCTCAAAAAGCTTACCTTGCTTGTGCCTTCTTTTGCCCATTAAAAGCAACAACTGTCCTGATAGCAGTCAAAATTTCTTCTGCTACTGCTCCTGCTTTAGCATAAGCAGACAGCTCTTTTACAGTGAGTGAGGCCAAGAGCTAGAAAGTTTTGTAGGGGGAAAAAAAAAAATTATTAAAATCTATTAAAGAGCTTTATCTTGTGCATTATTAAAGAATGGTGTGCCAATGGTAAGGGTAGAATCATGGAATCTGGAAAAAACTGAATTCAAGTCCCACCTGTGCTACAGTGCTTAGAAACTGGTATAATAAAACTTAGATAGATTAAAGATAATACTATTTCCTCTTACCTTACTACTTTGCTTCACAGAAAAACAAAACCTTAAACATATAATAGTATTTAGTGAATGTTTTTGTTACAAATGATACCCATTAAAAACGGTCACAACTCACAAGCATCTCCCCATGCATTTCACAATGCTGTACATTTCCTGTCAATAGAAATGGGTGGCAGAACATGCTGGGATGGGGTGGGGATCCTCTCCAGGCGTTGTACTCATGATGCTTTGTGTGTATTCCATCTTTTTCATTCAAGAAGGATCATAATTATTAGGTTGTCTTACCCAGTACTTACCATTGACCAAACTGCTGCTGAGGCAGCAAGTAGTGGGCTAACTGACAAAATCACCAAGGTCAATTTCCACCCGTGGACAAATCCTATAATAATGCCTGTCAGAAAGGTGGCAAAAAATTGTACAAATATACAGATCTTGTCTCCAATGCCTTCATGGATGGTATTAATGTCACTGGAAATTAGAAAAGAAGAAAAACATTTGTTAAATTTGATTAATGTCTTCCTATAGCATATGTTTCCGTTTTGCTGAAGAGATGCCCATCATTGTTGCAGTAGAAATTCTGGATTTCTGAACAGCACTATTAGCTCCTAGGGACAGTCCCCCATTTTTACAGCTCATTTTCTGTCTGTAACCTTAGGATCAGCAGCAGCTGCTGCCATTTCCAAGTCCTCCCCTCCATTGACTGCTGAAATTTGAAGATATGAAGCATGAATATCTTAATTTTGCATCCAATACAGTAGCAAGCACACTATCAATACATTGTTGTTATATTGAACCGCTGCATATAATATTAAGTGTTTTTCTGAATATATAGACAAACAGGCTGGATTAGTGTCATTTAAGCCTCTCCTCTTCAGGATTCACAGTTCCCTAAACTGGATATATTTTTCTACATGTCAATCAAACTGCATACGCTTTCTTTACTTGCATGTACCTCTCAATTACATCCAGTGCTCCAAAGCCCACTGAAGTCAGTTTAAAGACTCCAAATGACTTCAGTTGGTTTTGGATCAAGTTGAATGAGAATATGCTGACAAATTAGGAGTACATTTATCTGATCTAATGTCAGGGTTTACAGCGTTTGTAAACTAGCTGGAGACAGTATGGCTGTTTATCTGCAGTTGCTAAACAGTTCATAAATATTACAAGCCAATGTTAGACAAGTAGTACTTGTCATGACATAAACCTTTGCAGTGCATGTGTCACAGAACTCAGCAAATTAAGTGAAAACCGGTAACTAATTTCCACTTCAAATAACTGTATATTTCAGGTTTTATTTGAAAGGTTCTTGAAAACTCTTTAGATAAATAAGAGATAAACTGAGATATTCTTCTAGATATCATAGTCATGGTACATAAATAAAACCCTCTCACTCTGTTAATCTGGTGTTCAAGGTTCCAATCTGGGTGGTGTCAAACCAAGCCATCTCCTGGTGGAGCACTGCAAAAAAAAACTTTTGTCGGATTCTTGCTGTCTGTCTTGTAGCCGAAGTCAAAAATGTCCACACTTGGATGGTGCTCAGTATCAATACAGCAGAACCAATAGCAACATAATAGTAGGCAAACCTGCAGTTAAGACAGTAAAAAATACCTAAGATACACTGTACCCTGGGAGAGAAATTAAGATGTATCAGGCCAAATTCTGTCTTCATTTGTCCATTTACAAATGTGTTAAAATCAACGGAATGTAGTTGAGAACAGACTATAGCCTGTAGCTGAATAGATAAACAACAAACAAATAAATAACAAAATAAAGAAACAAGAACACACTATTCTTAAGGAAAGATTCTTACTTTGTCATTTCAGCTTCTATATCTACATCTGGAATTGGTGCACAAGTAGAGCTATCCAGCATAGCAACTGGAAACAAGAAAAAGATTAAGTGTTATAACTGAATGAATGAGACCTGGTGGTTAAAGGAGATGACACTGTACTCCAGATAACAATTCTGTCGATTTACAGCTTGCACTGCAGCCAGCAGCCTTGTGGAAGAGGCTCAAACCGGGCCAAACTTTGTTCACAAGGTCACTGTAGTGTGATGTCATGGATTTGATACACTGTGGGCCTGTCTGCACTGTCTCTGGTGTGCTTGTTAGGCTTTGAATAGGTGCCTGTAGAAGATGTCTTAAAGCTGTTCTTATCAATAAGAGCAGAAATGAAGCCAAGATGCACAAAGAACAGTCTGTTATTCAAATGTTTACCTTTTTGTAGATAAATGCTGTCTTTCTGTATATATTAACACTGTTTTTTGAATTGATAATGGTTGCACTCAGCTTATCATGCTTGTAGTTAGACTTTTTTGGGAATTGTTAATTGTTTTAGTTGTTTTTAAATGCACATGTGCAAGAAGCAACATACATGTATCTACTAGAACAGGGGTTCTCAACCTTTTTGGATCAGTGTACCTCTGGTGGCTGGATGCGGAGCAGTGTAACCCCAGTGGCCAGATGTGGAGCAGGGGGGGGAATAAAAAAAGATTTCCTGCTTCCATTGCAAATAAAGGTGAAATTTATCCATGCAGACTACATTTCAAGGCAAAGCTGTACATCACTCAAGTACTACTCAAGCCCCCCAAAACCAAGATACCAGTGGCGGCTTAGCTGTTTGCTTGCTGTCTGCAAAGACATTTGCTCAAAAAAAATGCAATCCTATTTATATCTGGGAAAAAATATGAGGAAATTAGACCCTAAAAAAAAAAAATATATACTTAGAAGTTTATCTTTGCTTATTTACCGTCAGAGATATTTCTTCCCATGCCACTCAACACAAAACTGTTTGTCATCTCTCCAAAAACAATGATCATCAGTGGCAATCCAGACCCATTCGCCATAGCTGCAATCAAGCCCACTATCATCAAAATGATATCCAGCCAATCAGCATAGTAAAACTATATGAATATTAAAGAAAAGGGAATACATTTATTGTTGAGAATTCAAACATTTGCCAATACTTCACTAGGCATATAGAACAAAATTTATTTTTTACGTAACACTATTCACACTGCAGGTATGCAAAAGCATTTTATGAAGATATGAGTTCATTCGCAGCAATGTAGTGGCTATGAAGGCAAATACAACATGGTGGATGCACTTTGTAATAGCACACACACACACACACACACACACACACACACATATATCTTTAAATCAATACTGAGGAAGTTAAGGAACAGTGGCAGCTCAGCAAGGTTAATCTCTTACTCCATAGGGGGAAAAAAAGAACAATGTACCATACATTTTTTCACAGTGATGACACCTAATCATTACACATTGCACTGCACTAAATCATATATTGACTGAGATAATACATGCAAAATGTAAACAAGAACAGGTTATCAACCAGGATTGCTATCACCTATCAGAACTAGCATGCAGCATTTACATGTTTAAGGTTCGTCTAGATTTGAATGTTACTCAAGATGAAAATACAGTGAATTTAAATTTGGCTCAATAACTCTTTGTGGAGACATTCTTATTCTAGAATAAGAATGCTTTTTTTTTTTTTTTTACTATTTAGATCTGTGCTTCCCAGATGTTTCCTCAGAATGACCCCAGTTCCTCAGCATGACCCCTCACTCCTAACCCACAGACCCCCATCCTCACAACCCCATCTGATGATGTTGCACCCCAGTTTGGGAACTGCTGGTTTATATTAATCTAGTTTCAAAGGGGATTGACTCACTACATTATTTCAGCAGTAGTTATCTAGAATCACAGAATTATTGAGAAGTATGGCTGGAAGGGACTGCCAGAGGTCACCTAATAGGGCTGTGCGAAATGGGTCCTATTTGATTCAGATTTGGCCTGAATCAGGGACAGCGATTCGATTAGTTGATTCAGATCACTGGAAATGGAATAATGAAAAATGTAAATCAAACCAACAAACTGTACACTAACCAGCTCCAAAATACCAACCATCTTCTTTTTTGCCTTCTCATTTTTCTCTCTAGAAAGATTAAAAGAAAAATGTTTATTGAGGCTGTTTCAGGCAGAGCAGAAGACATCAAACACTTTATTGAAGGTCAAAGAACCCCCTACTTTTTTTTAGTCGTCTTTAAATGGTCATTTTGTTCAGGTTTTTCTTCATACTGGAAAGCGGGATTGTTATATCCATTACATGCAGATTCTGTGGAGGAAGAACATTTTGCTTGAATATTAAGACTTTTGAGTCAGTTTCCTATGGTTCACCCCATTTCTGTCTCTGAACTATTTAAGAGTTTAAAAAATGGGCACATGAACAAGGTACCATGAAGCAAAGAAAGCAGAGCTGCTGCCCCACAGTATCTTCCTCATGCATCTGCTAGTCCACAGTAGCTGCCTCTGTACATGTTCTTACTCCATGGCAAATGTAAGACAATCATAGATTAGCTCCCAATGAAATAAGTAGATTAGAATCAATAACTAGATTAGCTCCCAATGAAAGAGCATGTACATGGGCAGTTATCATGCAATAGTTGAGGTGTAGTAATACTGCATTTTCCTTCACTTTGTGGTAGTTTGCTCATGTGCTTATGCCCTCAATTTTTTTCACTTTTTCGAAACAGCTCAATGAACTCTCTTAAAAACTTCCTGCATACTCCAATCACTTCTGCGCTGAGAACAAATTTCATTTTCAGCCCAAAGGTTAAATTCTAGGAAAAGTTAATAACAGCTTTAAAAAATAAGATAGTCATAATAAAAAAAAATTGGGCCCTGCAAAGATTTGCACACATTTAACATACAGAAAAAGGGTGGTTCCACTGAAATCCATGGAACTGCTTACAGGGGTATGTGTACACATGTGCTTTAGTCCACAGTAGCCTAGTTTACTGTGCATTAAAGTAGCAAGTAAAAAATCATGCTAAAGTGCAGTAAAATAGGCTATTGTACATTAAGCGTCACCTAAAAAGTATTCACATACACTACTGCATATTAGGGCAGCCTAATACGCATTAATTTAGTACATCCAATATGAGGTACTAAATGAATGCATATTAGGAAGAGTGCACTAATGCACATGTAGATATGCCTAGTATGTAAAATTAAGAATTTGCTTAAGTCTTTGGAGGCATACTTAGTATTTTTTTTGTTGTTGTTGCAATAGTGCCTACAAGGCCTGGTTCCATTGTGCTAGGTTCTATGCAAAACAAAAAGGAGGACCATTAACCAACAGAGCTTGAAATCAAACTTTAAGGGGAAAAAGAACAAGAATGGAACCTCCCCCAACAAAAAATAAAATAAGCCAGTGAGGAGATCACAGGGAAATAGTTAACTGATTGTGAACTACATGATAAGGGATGATTACATCACTGTCTAATCTACCTCTGCAATACCTATTCTGTCACTATCAGTATATTTTCCCCCATTGTTTTCCACCATTGGTTTTCATAACAATTTTGTATGGGAAAAACAGTCTTAAAAGGAAACTATTGTGTTTTGTTGGCTTATATAACCATTCAAATGCAATAAAATGTCTCTAGATTCATTTGACTTGTATAACAGAACATTTGCTTTCTCAGGCCTCATTCTGCATAAATAACTCTACCCCGTGAGTGGCCACATTTGAACTCAGCTACTCAAGTGCATAAAAGTTTCCCAGAGGGAGATCTTAATTATTTTGAAACTCACTAAGCATTTACTAAGCTGGTAGAGTGAACACCAGAGATACGATGTCCCAGCTAATGTTTCAATAAAATATAGACCATGTGTGTTCAGTGCAAGTTGAGGAAGTCTTATAATGCCCTTGTGACTTTTGGCTTGTGGAACTATTTTTAACCTAGCATTAAAACCAAACAACCAAAAAAAGAAACTTACCAGAATCAGGTAGTTCCTTTCTTGTTTGATTTATAAAATTGTCCTTCATTTTATTATGTTGTTGTACAGATGGTCCAGATATGGAACTGAATCACTCTGGGTGAAACCTCCATACAAAAAAGAAAACAAAACAACTTTTAGAAAAAAGTCATTTAAAGAGTTCATGTTAAAGTATGGGTACTGTTTCTTTATTCACTATTTGTTTCCTTTCTATACGTCTCCTACTGAGCAAAAATATTTATCTTTACATACCACACACACTAGTTTTACCAAAGATATACATTTTTTTAATACCCCAAAAGTGCTGTCCTACTCAGCTAACAGGTTTCCTAGATTTCAAGGTGAGGTTGGAAGACTTCATCTGAGCTGTATGAAACAGCCTGTCCAATTTCAATCAGTTACCCCATATTGTATTTGAATAAAGCATCTCTTTAATTCATCCCATGACGGTGATTATCACCATGAATAGTAAAGGTGCACGATATTCAATCTTTTTGAATCTGATGGAGAGTTGTTTAACAAGAATGGCAAAAGACAGTAGATGATAACATTCTACCCTGCATGGTTTTTGCTCAATATATTGTGTGCATTTGTTTAAAAAAAAAAAAAAAAGCTTGAATCTGCATCCAGCAGCTCTTGGAGCAGGTTAAAATAAAAATTAAACAACACCAACATGACACACTCGTAATCAAAAGGAGGTTCATTAAAAATTCTCATTTTTCCCCACTTTCTTTGAATCAATTTCTAGCCATAGAATCACATAAGTTGGGCTGGAAGAGACCTCAGGAGGTCAACTACTCCAGCCCTATGCTCAAGGCAGGAGCATCCCTGTCTAAACCATCCTAGGCCAGTGTTTGTCTAACCTGTTCTTAAAAACTTCCAAGGGTGGATATTTCATGGCTTATCTAGGTTGTCTATTAACCATCCCCATAGTAAGAAAGCTCTTCCTAATAAGCAACCTGAATCTTCTTGCTGCAGTTTAATGCCATTACTCCATGTCCTGTCCCTGGTAGCCACAGAGAATAGCCCATCACCATAACCTTCCTTCAGCTATTTGAAGACTGTTGTCAAATCCCCCCCCCGCTCAGTCTTCTCATCTTGAATCATAACACTACTAACAAGAATGGCAAAGTACAGACATTACACTTTTTTGGGTGTAAGTGATCAGAAACTGTCTATACCTGTACCGGGACAGAAGTTCAGCACACAAAACTAGCCTATGCCCATAAGAGACCAGAAGTTCAGCACACACAGACTGGTTTAAAAATAGCAGAACTTGGTGTAAGATTTGCCCCACACCACCAAAGGGCAAATGCGCACTCTGTTTGAACATTACTTAGATCCTGCCTGCCTGTCCTAGTTCTTCCAGCCTTTCCTTGTAGGTTGTTGGCTGGGTTTGCCAGTGATTATTTCAGCTTTTAACTTGGTGTTACAGCCAACAGCACACAAGCTGTTAAACGTTTATGGAAGCACCTGTAAGATATGCAAGGACACATGAAATAATCACTGGCAAGCCCAGGCAACAACCTACAAGGAAAGGCTGGAAGAACTGGGATGGGCAGGCAGGACCAAAGTAACTTTCAAACAGAGTGCACATTTGCCTTTGGCAGAGGACACTATTTATTCCCTTGATTTTCACAGCTGTTTCGCAGGCCACCTGCTTCCTCCTTGCCATGGGGTGGAAAAGGGAGTAGTGGGGACCCCCTCAGGGTCAAGATCCCCACAGGTAGAAGCACAAGGGCAATTCAGCATCCCCCAAAACCCAACCGCAGCAAGCAGCGCAGAGACAAGGGTCCTCAGAGCATCCCTGCAGACTGAACAAGAGGCAGCAGCCCAGGTAGGAGCTCTGCCCCTTGAGTGCTCTCCAGCGCGGGCCCCTCCGTGCCCCGTCTCGGCGCGGGGAGCCCTCATTCAGGGTCGAGAGCGGTCCCGGGTTGGGGGGGGGGAGCTAGCCGCCCCCCCGGATGCCCGGGGGAAAGCAGGGGCACTGCAGGGACAACTCCCGGCTGCAGGGCGGGAGGAGCAGCAGCAGCCTCCCGCCTCCCCCGGCTTGCAGCAGCGCGGCAACGCGCCCGTCCCTCAGCAAGCCCCGGCCCCCGCGGGAGCGGAGCGGGGTCGCCCCTGGGCGGGCTGAGGCGCTGCGGGCTCTGCCCAGCCTGCCCGCCTCGGGCCAGGGCAAGACCCCCCGGCGGTACTTACACGCGAGGTGCGGTGGAGCCGCGCTCATCCCCTGCCCTCCTCCCAGCGGGTGCCCGCAGCTCCTCTCCTCCGCGCTGCCCCTGGGTATTTAAGCAGCAAGCTGCCTCCTGACGCCCAGCTGCTGCCAACCTGTCCCCTCCCCTCCCCTCCCCAGGTTGCAGGGATCCGGTTTCAAGGTAGAGCTCCCCCAGCCTCGTATCCCCAAACTAATTCCCACCGAGATGCCCTTGTGCGGTGGCCTGGGACTCAGGTCCAGGGAAGGCTCCTTCCAACTTAACTGCCTCCCATGACCTCTAAAAAAAAAGTGCAAGGATTTAGCGGGGAAAAGCCATGAGAAGTGCAGAGTCCTGAAGGGAGCTTGCTCTATCAATATGGAGGGGGTAAAAGTTTTCAGAGGTATAACTTCAGAGGTATTCACTGAAAATAAAATAAATTTTAAAAAAATGCTGTTTCAGGGCAGCCCAACTGATCTGCGAAGTAGGGTCAAATTTAATGAGGTTTCAACCCCAAAAAGAAGGGGCTACCATTGGGAAGTGACAGCATTTGTTAGGCACACTACCTTAATTTTTCATTTCAGACTGACATCAAGATTGCACTGGGCTACATTTGTCCAAGAACAAATAATCAACAAGCAGCCCCTTTCCAAAAATGAAGAAAAATGAAAAATAAAGCAGAACAAAACCTGAAACATTTTTGTCTGCCCTGAAATGCTATATTTTTTCTTTTTCTTTTTAAATGTATTGGGTGTGACAGAAATGGTTATTCCAGGCTGAGCAAAAAACAAACCTCCCTCAATTTCTGCGAGTCTGAGAGTTCCAGTAATACATATCCACAGTTCTTTAGTTTTTATCCATTATTTCAAATGGTGAATTACGAGCTTTGGGAACTTCCCACTTAATTACCCAAGGAAGGGGTTAACAGTTAGAAAGTGTCTTTGAGACATGGATTTATATCACAGTGCTGAGCGCAGGACAAGGATCTAAATAGAAGGGGAAAAATACCACTTATGGACTGAATTTCAGGGTTCTTAAGTACCCACAACAGTAACTCAAAATAACTGGCTGTGTTGTCCCCAACGGACAGTGTGAGTTCGTGCCCGGTGCGCTATTGCCAATGAACACACAGGGGTGGAGGATCCAACTTAATCTTTATTGTTTCCAGTCTGCGCAGAGAGGGGTGCTTGGCAATCGTTTGCAAAGCAAGCACCACCGGTTTCTACCTTTGGGTACCTTTTATACATATGTTTACAAGTGTATCGCTCAGTGATTGGTTACAAGCCACTGACATAAGACGTTCTCTACTGAGCATGTCTCTATACCTATGTTTTAGCCATGTATTTCATTTACATACATATATGTTCCATTAACATACTTTTGCCCTGCCCAGGGGTGTGATTTTTAGCATTATAATGAGACCTTTTTCTGAACTTCTTGCTATCTTACTAGTGTCAGGGAGACATTATCCTGCTGGTGTTAGGGAGGCATTCCAGGAATCCTCCGCATCCCACACGCTGTGCTCTGCAAGCATCTCTTAACACACACATGCCACACCCCTCCCAGCATCACTAAGTTGCCTTAAGTATTCAGTTAGATATAGTTTGCAAAAGCTAGATATACCATAAAAAAGATTACATAAAAAGATTACATCAGCTGTGCACTCAGCATTTTTGAATATTTATAGAGAGCTGCTCTGAGTGACCCCTAATCAAGGCCCCCACATAGTGTTAGCTGCTGTATGTAAATATTACTTCTAAGAAGCACACCCTGCATCAATGATATACAGTAGATAAAAAGCTAGGCAATGGGAGAAAATGGGGAAAATTACAATGTACTCAAGCAAGATGCATAAAAGTGTGTAAAGAATCTCCTGTTTTCTTCTCTTCTTTATCTTTAATTTTGTACTTTTGGAAGGGCTACCTGACTCCCTACGTGCTAAAGAACTTCTTCGAACAAACAGAGAAGCAAAAGAAGAATGATAGGAGGAATTAGATTTTATTTATTTTTTATTTCATTTATATTCCACCCTTCCCAATAGGCTCAGGATGGCCTACAATAGAAGAAAACAATAACTTATAAAACAGGAAAAACTTATTCAACAGGAGAAAATGTCAAACAGAAACCCATTAACCATATCCCAGCCTAACTTTCTGGAAGGCTTAATTCATTGCCTATTAGAAGGGTAGACACTGCTGTAGCAAACTAAATTATTTTTAGTTCCTTTATAGTGAAAGATGACCGGTAGTATGTAAAATTTTCACAGAACTGATTAGTTATAAACTGAAACAGATATATGACAAGCAGAAATGGCACAAGCTAATAAAAAAAAAGCTATGGTAGTGATGCAAAACACTCTACAACAGTGTCACACAGCAGTGCTTTGGGCCATTACTGTGGAACACTGTGGACGTTCAGTCCTTAAAGAAAGCATGTGATTTGAAAGAGAGACACCCTCCCCCACCACCATGTAATGATTGTTTAGTTAAGAAAAGGCCCAAAACAACAAAACACCCTTTCAAATAACTTGAAAGCCACCCTTCATTACTTCATTTTCACCCATATCTGAATGAATTTGACTTTCCGCAACATGGCAAGTGACAGAAAGCACCAAATAAATACAATGCATGTACCACCAATCAAGGTAAGTTACTTACCATGAACCACAGCTGCTAAACAGGAGGATGGTACCTGTGCAAAGGAAATATTTATGAGATTTGTAATGTAAACTTTATAAAGGATAAGCTATGCTTTATTTCTCCTGAAGAGTCTTTGAACACGTGGCAATTCAGAGTTTAATGTAGCTGAATAAAGAAATGATAAAGTAATAGATACCATTTTTAGTTTAATGTTTGGTTTGATGCTTCCTGCTATAATAGAAAAGCACCAGGAAGATGTAATGTTTTGCAGATGCCTCTCACAGTAGCACCCAGACTTGGTTGCTCCAACATCTGCTGTAGAGTTAGAGTTTAGGGATAGATTCTGCTCTCAATTCCACCCAAGCAAGCCCCTGGCAAGGGCTAAAGAATTCAGAGCAGAATTTGCCCCGCTGTATTACCACAACCTGACAGGTAGTAACGTTTCTACCTTTTAAATTCAGCTGTAATTGGCACATAACCATTACCTCACAAAAATCCTACTGTGTAGGATCCTACTGTGTAGTGCAACTGCAGTCAGACTTAACATATCATTCCCCCAAATCTAACATTCTCCAACTCTAATATGCACCTTCCATTACTTTAAAACATTATTGTGATATCTATACAAAAAACAATATTCATTGTATTGTCATAAAAATACATCATGCAAGGCACCTATAATAAAAACAGTCCTTGCCTGAAAGATCTTATCATCATCCACATTTTTCATTGAAAATGCTAATTAAAACATAATGTTGGCCACTTAGATATGTATACGGGGCTTCCATTTTTCTTTGATAGTTGTTTATATACCATGTATTATATTTTTACCAATTTTTATAAAAAATGAACACTGTAGTATAATAATTCTGCTTGCTTTTAAGTTACTGTTCAAACCTGGAAGGCAAAAATTACATTCTTTTTTTTTCCCGGCTCACTCCTCCAGTCTGTGTTTAATAAACAGCTGTACTGAGTGCCTCTGGGTCATGACACTGGCTAAACTTCAGCAATGGAGCTGCTGTGGAGTGATGCATCAGTTCCTGGATAAGATTTTGCCTCCTTTATCTCTACCCCTGTTGTAGTTACTTATCACCTTAGTCACTTGGACTCTGTACATAGAAAGATGTACTTATCCATTAACTTTTTCTTTACTTGATGGGGATTTGTATCACTGAAATTTTCAGTAGTTCCTAGTAACATTGGAATATGCGCTCTTGTTTAGAACTGGGATTTTAGAGAGATCACAACACTTTGCATTCTTTGAGCTTTATTTCCTGAAGCTGGGTAGTAAATACATGTTTTTGTAGATTGGGTTAAACCAAGCTGAAACTGTTGGGTGGAGCTGCCACACTCACAAGTTGTAAGTAGTCATTAAGCTCCTGTATAGGAAGCAGGTAGCTGAAATAATAGCAGTCTCCACACCAAAACACAGGCAAATATACCACTCAAGGTAAAAGACAAATGTGAGGTTGCATGCAAATTTGTACCAGTGGGTTGTGTGGGTTTTGTTTTGGGTAAGAATGTGCATGTGTCTGTGTATACAGCTATGCAAAAAAGTTATCTGACATAAGCCAGTGTGGAAATTTACAGTAGATTATAGCACAGCAACTGCCCATGTGCATGCTTTTGCCCTTTGGTAAATGGGAGGCAGGCAGATTGTACATGAAAATTTGATAAAGTAACTCTAATTTACCACTGACTGGGTAAAATCACACACCTGGGCAGTTGTCACAACATAGCTAATATACTGTCCATATAAACCTAATTTGTAAGTCTATAACTTTGTGGTAACCTGTTTATGTAACTACATGTGTGTGAAAATGGAGATGCAGAAGGAAGATACAGAAATGGGAAGAGAAGACAGCTTCAGCAGCACCTGACTAGCATGGCACATGTCTCTGAGGGGAAAAAAAAGAGAAGTCTTGGGGGTTCTGAGGAAGAGAGCCATAGCTTGTTCAATTCTTCTGAGTTTTGGAAAGCAGAACTTTATTCATTCTTGTAAATGACTCCATCACTAGTCCCTCCCTCTATCTGGAACAACCTGCATGGACATGCCTGAGTCAAAAGGGGTAACAGCATATACTATGCACATATCAGAATATTGTTTTCATGTTGACTTAAGGAAGGAAAACAGTCTAATTACCACCTGAGAGGTTTATATGTCTGGAAGGAAAGCACTCTAATTACAATCTGGGAGGTTTTCAAGGATGTTTAAATTGCTATGGGCAAAGAAACTAGTCAAGTTATGAAGTCAGTAACCTCTCACCTAAAATAGGCAAGTCCTATTGATAAGTCAACCTAGTTCATCTGCCACCATAAAAGTATAGGAGAGGAAAGGGAGTAGGAGGTGCCTTATGTACAGTGTGGGTGACAGGAGTAATGAGTGAGTGCACCGCTTTATATGATGGGATAATACATCTTATATGTTTACTGAAGACAACTATTCAAATTCCACTAGGGTGTGTCAGATCTTGGCACAG